GTCTTTTGAAACTATCTTCCAATAAACCCACAATAACAGCATGCTAAAACATGACTCAGCGCATCCACAAGATGTTTGCTTTTTAAATCTTCCCCAAATTTTGATACACCATAGGTAGGCACTCAACAAGTATGTTACTAGTGCCTGCCTTAAGCCTACTTCCTCATACTGTCCAAAACGAAAGATACCATTTGTCTATGGATGAAAACAAGTTTGATGACAGGCATCTGGACAAAGTTCAAGGATTTCCAAACTCTTACCACTATGTTAATAATCCAGCGTTCTAGAGTGAAAAAAGTGGGTCTTTGGTTATGCACTGGACAGTTAACGGGTAGACCTTGTTTTGAAGCCATCTACTGAAAATGCCTGGGAAACGGACTGAAGATAAACCCGTAAGCAATTTCCCAAAGGAAATGTTTGGGAATTCACATTATATGTGTGTATACTAATAGACGTCCTCTGCTTCCAGCTTCCAGTTAGTCAATCCCCGCCGTTACCATCACTAAAACCCTAACGAAACGTCTCCTGAATCATCTGTAAAATCAAACCATTTGAACACTGCTGTTCGTGTCAACGCTCATAAAGCGGTAGAAAGCTGTCAAACTCTTTAAAAAAAAGGGGGGAATCCGTCTCTCCGGGGCGGCCAGGGCCCATACCGGGTAATGAGCACCACCTCTTTCTTCGTGCCCAACGTCGCTGAACGCTGACCCGGGAGGGCCCCGGTCAGAGGGCCGCCCAGGGGGGTGAGAAGTAGAGGTGGAAGGGACCGGGCCCGCACGACCATTCTACCGGGTTTCGGACGCCCCAAACACCGGGGCGGGAGGCGTCCACCCAGCCAAGGTCCCGGCAGGGCTCGGCCTCCGGTGGTGCTGGGCTTCCCGGGTCGCCCGCCCCGCCCCCGCTCTGACTCAGCATCCCAATTTCCCACAGGGGGCGGGAGCGCTCCGCGCCAGCCCCTGCGGGTCTCCCTGCTCGTGCCCCGCGCGGCTCGGCCCCTCTGCCCGCGCCGCCCCACTTACCGCGCCCGGTCTCCGTCGCACCACCTCCAGCGGGCTCCCGCGGCCTCCGTGAGCCTCGGGACACTTCCGGCTTCGCGAGCCCTGGCCGGGGGCCACGTGACCGACGGCCGGCGCGCTCCGGTGCGCGTGCGCACGTCCGCCGGACGGGCCTCGGCCTCCGCCGCCTACCCTGCGGCCAGGGCTGGTGGGGCTGCTGGTTTCCACGTTCTTCGTCGAGAGGGGCGGGGAGACTGGGGGTTGCCTGGAGTCGGAACTGGTCCACACCCTCTGCCTGCCCCTCCCTCACCCTAAGGGTGAAGCTAGGGAGCCCTGCGCAGTGAGCAGTTTCGGTTTCCCAGAACTGCAAATCCCGCCCCGTCCTCGAGAGCCACCGACAGAGCGCGACGTGCGGTGACAGTGGGGAAGACAGACATTGAACTGATTGCAAACATTCTAATAGTCACAGGTGTGCAGAATGCTGGACACGTGCGAAGCTGTTCCTGGGGGAGTAACATAGTCTGGACGGATATCTGAAAGTGTTTTAAAGATTTTATTTATTTGTTAGAGAGAGAGCACGTGGGAGCACAGGCAGACAGAGTGTCAAGCAGAGGCAGAGGGAGAAGCAGGCTCCCTGCCGAGCAAGGAGCCCGATGTGGGACTCGATCCCAGAATCCTGGGATCATGACCTGAGCCGAAGGCAGCTGCTTAACCAACTGAGCCACCCAGGCGTCCCTCTCAAAGTGTTTTAAAGGCTGTGTTGGCTGCAGTGGAGTCCCATGATCGCCTCAGAATAATCCAGACGTGCAATTCTTAATGTAAATAAGCTCATTTAATTCCTTACTTTTTTTTTTTTTTTTTTTTTTTTGCGTTGAGTGAGGAAGTCAGGAATGAAAGTTGTCTTAACTCCCTCTTTATACAGTATTTGGAACATGGCAGTATTGGAGAACTTGACTGAAATCAGGTCCTGAATACTCGTGCCTCCAGGATCTCAAGCAGCTCTTCCCTAGAGTGATTCCTTCTGCCCACTGACTGCACTGCAGCCTTTCTCAACACAGGGAGAGGTCAGAGACACTCCGGTTGTTTCAGGGCTAAACTTGAAAGACTGACGAGAAAGAATTCTTCCCAGTTGAGAACTACAGCAACCAGGAATGAAATAGGAAACCAGGGGCTTTTTGAATGGAACACATCTGGGTTTGCAGTCCCAACTCTCCCCACCAAATACTGACTCTAAGCACGTTCCCCCGCCCCATAAGGTAAGTCTGTTATGTTCCTTGCACAATGGAAATAACAAAAGTCCACAGTAATGCGTTGTTACAAAGGAAGTTACTTTATTAGACTTTTAAACAATGTTAAAATAAACCATTTAATTAACCAATGTTAGGTGGAACCATTCTAACAACAAATCTATTTACTGCTTACAATTCCAACCAATTTCAGTTCTGCATCTAACACCAAGAAGGGACCTGTCCAGGTTCCTTACAACAGCAAGACCTACAGCTCAAAAGTTTTATGGGAGAAAATGTAATTAGCTGAGCCAAAGGCCTTGATTCACATATTTACCAAATTATTTATCACTGAAATACCACAGGTATTTTCTTAAAGGTAAAACTGTTTGTGAACCAATTAACGTTAACATTTAAGACTTTAAATAAACTGTTAGGCACATAACTAGACCAGGCATCTTAAAACCCTTGCTATTCCATAGTCAAGCCACACAAATCCGTCTTTGCTTTAGTGACCTCACCTTTCAAGAGGTGAGATTCACTCTTGTGACAATTATTTGGGGGCTTATTTTTGGAAACTAAATACAAGTAAGTAATTCATGAGGAAGCAGAATTTCCTAATTGCTATGGTACTCCCTAAAAAATGGTGCTCTGGGTAACTTCAGGGAAAGATGGGTATTATACATGACTATAGAACATGAAGTTTATCTTCTACTGCAGACTCTTAATTTCCATGTTTTGTTTTCTCTTGATCCTGAACATACACAATCTTTTGAAGGGCTTTAAACAGGGAAAAAGGAGGCGTCATCTTTACATATATGGAACTAATAGTACAGCGATCATAGCTAATACGAACGAAGCCTTCGTGCGCAGGTAGTATAAGAAGCTATTCATACTTAAATTCTTGGTTGTGAGGTAGCTACAATTATCTCCCCCATTTTACAGATGTGGAAATGTATATGGAGAAGTTATTTAAATTACTTAAACTTTTTAAAACCAGTGACTAGTAGAACTGTTATTTGAACCTACTTAAATCTGCAACCTGCCTTAGCTCTTAAGCACTATGCTGACTTGTTAGTATACTTTGAAAAATTAGTGCTATTGCACTAGATGCCATGATCTTTTTTACAGTACAAGAAACTTATCAATGGAACACTCAAGCTTTCACATACCCATTTTAATTTCTCTATTTAGAGAGAGAGCACTTGTGAGCGAGTGGGGGTGGGGGGTGAGGGAGAGGGAGAAAGAATCTTTTTTTTTTTTTTTTTGAAGATTTTATTTATTTATTTGACAGATAGAGACCACAAGTAGGCAGAGAGGCAGGCAGAGAGAGGGGGAAGCAGGCTCCCCGCTGAGCAGAGAGCCCGATGTGGGGCTCGATCCCAGGACCCTGAGATCATGACCTGAGCCGAAGGCAGAGGCCTAACCCACTGAGCCACCCAGGAGCCCCAAGGGATAAAGAATCTTAAGCAGGCTCCACACTTAGCACAGAGCCTGATGTGGGACTTGATCCCACGACCCTGAGATCATAACATGAGCCGAAATCAAGAATAGGATGCTTAACTGACTGAACCACCCAGGTATCCCATTTTTTTTTTTTTTTTTTTTTTTTAGGGAGAATTTATTTTTTAAAAGTAAGTTCTATGGGGGTGCCTGGGTGGCTCAGGTCATGATCTCAGGGTTCTGGGATCTGGTCCCCTATCAAGCTAGCGCTCAGCAGGGTCTGCTTGCCCCTCTCCTGCTGCCCCTCCCCCTGCTCAGGCTCTCTTTTAGATAAGTAAAATCTTAAAAAAAAAAAAAAAAGAAAAAAAGAAAAAAAAGTAGGCTCTATGCCCAACATGGGGCTTAAACTCATGACCCTGAGATCAAGAGTCCTATGCTTTACCCAGCTGAGCCAGTTAGGTCCCCCTCACTTACCTATTCTTAAAAACATTTTTATTTAAGTATAATACACATTTCATCCATCCTTTTTTTAAAAGTTAATTTAGTTTAACAGTTAATTTAGTTTAGTACTTTTATTCTACAATGTAAGGAAAATGTTTATAATCACTACTGCAATTATCGCCAAGAAAGATTTATGTATATAATTTAGAATAGTTTTAGGGAGTTTATAGACCACTGAAGCCATCATGAAAACTTTAGGGAGGGGAACCACATGGGCCAAAGGTTAAAAAAAAAACCAAAACAACCCTCACCTAAAATCTTGAGCTTGTGAAATTTAAATTTAAATGACTGTAGTAATTGTTCTTTCTTTGAATTCAGTTAACATATAATATATTATTTGTTTCAGGAGTACAGGTCTGTGATTCATCAGTCTTATAATATCCAGGGCTCATTACAACACATACCCTCCCCAATGACTGTAGTAATTTAATTCTGCTGCTCAGTTTATCCCTCCTCTCTTAATTTCCTAATATTACTTACTATTATTTTCCTCTTGCTTTCTTGCAGGGCTATGAATAAAAATAGGGAGAAGTACTTCTGTTAACTAAATGGGCACCTACTTGTAAGCATCATTAACGCATAGGTACAGTGTCCCAAGTAAATCCAATAAAAGAGGAGAAAATTGGATTTTAAATTCTAGCACTAGATTGAAATAGGCTTTTTAAAGCATTTAAAAAAAAAGAATCTGAGAGAATTAAGCTCCATGTAACCTTTTGGGAGCATAGATAAATCATCTATAAGCTTATATGTGCAATTCTTTAAATGAAAAATCAGAAAGAGATGAGAAAATAAAACTAAAGTACTTATAATAATATCAAAAAAGACTTGGTAGATTTCACTACGTAAAATTTATTTTTATTTTTTTATAAAAAGTGTATAACACTGGTACCTACTCTTAAATCAGTTAATTTATGAAACCATTCTCTTCTGTAGAACCCACATTGGCATCGAAATAGTTTAAAGAAATGTAATGGCTATCTACGAAAAATTAGTTTTGGTTTGTTATATTCCCCCCATATTTTGAGACAGCACACATAAAAGAAAATTAAAATTTTCAAACATTTTATATTTAGCAATTGAAAAAAAAAGTACACTGTTTTCCTGCTATGGTCTTTATAAAGGATTTAACATTTCAAGTAAAAAAAAAAAAAAAAGGTACTAGAATAACCGTGCTGTATCTTTTAACAGCATTTTTATATAGAACAAATTTGCACTGGCATGCAAGCAACTTCTCTTGTTGTCACATACCTATATTCAGAGAAAATTACACCCATTTTACAGAGAAATCCCAATACATATACTGCAATAAGCTTAAAGCAATGTTAAAAAGACCAGGGTGAATGGCACACAAAACTGCTTCCTTATAAATCAACTGGAATTCCTGATCATAAAGTAGGCACAGGGAGATCCAGTCCTTAGGGCTTTGCTCTCTGGAAGAATACCTGTAAATAAAATATTAGTACAATTAGTACTGATGTCAGAAGATGTCACCTTTTATCTGAAGAATGGTTCCAAGTCAGTAAGTGCTAGTTATTCTTTTGTAAAATAAAATCAATATTTAGAACATCTCACATACTGCATAAATCCACACATGGCACAGACCTGTACCCCTGCAGCAAATAACACATTATATGTTAATTTAAAAAACTCCACACATGGTACAAGAACTTCCTTTTTTGGACAATTTGATCAAATCTCAAGATAACTTATGTTGACATTAGTTGGGAAACTAGTGAAAATACGGTTATTAACGCTAATGCGAGAACTCAAGTGGTCAGAGGAAAACATGCTCTTTATACCTTTTGCTGACTGGCACACAGTCATAGCTAATACAGGCCAATTAAATTTTGAGAAAGAAATAAACAAACCAAAGCTAAAGATAGCAGCTGTTATCCCCTAAGGAATTTACTATTTATTTGATTATAAAGGTTTTTTAAAAAATTCATTTGACAGACATCACAAGTAGGCAGAGAGGCGGGCAGAGAGAGAGGGGGAAGCAGGCTCCCCGCTGAGCAGAGATCCCAATGCGGGGCTCGATCCTAGGACCCCGGGATCATGACTCAAGCTGAAGGCAGAGGCTTTAACCCACTGAGCCACCCAGGTGCCCCTATTTATTTGATTATAAAAAAAATACTTGCAATTCAACATTTGAGAGTATGAATGAATAGGCTAGAGGTTGTGCTGGTGACTGGTCCAATATTACATACTACCTTCCATAGTTAGATACATGTTTTTTGTTTTTTGTTTTTTTCAAATACAGATTTTATTTTTAAGTAATCTCTGCACCCATTGTGGGGCATGAACTCATGATCCTGAGAGTAAGCCAGCCAGGAGCCCACATAGTTAGATATATGTTAAGTGAGCACTGGAAAGACTACTGGCTGTAAACTCACGAAGGACTGTATTCATCATTGTATCCTTAGCATCTAGCAGATCAGGCATTCATTTAACAAATAATCTGTTGACTAAGTGAAGAGAGGAATGATCACTACATGAGCAAAACAAAGTCTCACAAAGAGGCCAAGCTTGAGGCAAGCCTAAAGAATGGGTAGAATTCATAAAGGAGGAGGGTTGCTAATGAGGCAGAATTTTTGAAGAACAGCAAAGACCAGTCCAGCAAGAGAAATCAGAAAGGTGGTCTAATACCAGAAATAGGAAACAACAACAACTACAACAACAACAAAAAACCCTGAATGTCAAACTAAGAAACATGAGTTTATTTTTAATCAACGGTATAGGTTTATGAAGAATATAAGGGGAATGAATTTTAGAGGACTATTCAGGGTTTTCCAACAGCTCAGCTTGGCTACAAGGGAAGGGATATCGGCACGAGAGAACCCAACTCCACACCAGAGGAGCAGCAGTGGAGACAGAGCAAGTTCAGAGTGAGAAGGAGAGAATCGGCAAGATCTAAGGATCGATCACATCTAAACAGAGTAGGCACAAAAGATGGAACTTCACTTTCCCCAAAACAAGAATAGTGCTATCCTGGAGATAATGGTCCCACTGAAAAAAAAGTTGGGCTTGGGAGGAAGACTTTATAAATGCAGCTGGATGAATTACTATGTTTGGAGCACAAGCCTGCAACGCTGTACCTGGATTGGCTGTTACAGATCCCTTTAATAGAAAGTTACAATTTTTGTGAGTCCTTTCACCAGCTGGATCAGTTATATAACGGACATCACCTCCACAGGCACTTCGATTTTATAGGGAAATGGCAGTGGGGAGGGTTCCCAATCTTAAACAGTAACTTCTAATCTTCTTCTCACAAACTCCTATCAGTTTAAGCTGACAAACTACTACCAGGGAAAAAAATGGACAAGGACAGATGTTACAGAAGCAAAGTTAAGGACGACACACACTTACTTCCTCAGCAAAGGCCCTGACTTATCAATTTTACAGAGTGCCTTAGACAAAAGAACCAGGTGGTTATTCATTAAGTCACCTGCTACCAATATATTTAGCATAGTGTTTTGTCCTCAAATTTGTTGAATGAGGGTAATACAAACAAAAAACAGTTCATCTTGTCACACTGCAATTTTACTTCCAAAACATGAGCTCTTTATTGGCAAGGAAAGTAACTCATATGGTTGTTTTCAGCAGTTAGCATAGTACCTGTTACATAAAAAGCCTTCATGGAGTAATGAATGACTACCTGGGTGAGAGCAAGACAGTTTTGCCTCATGGATTTAAATTGTAAATTTGAATTCCTGGAGAGGTTTTATTTTATTTATTTACCGACTGATTGAGTTTATTTATTTATTTGACAGAGAGCACAAGTAGGCAGAGCAGCAGGCAGAGGGAGATGGAGGAGGCTCTCCGCTGAGCAGGGAGCCCAATGCAGGGCTTGATCCCAGCACTCTGGGACCATGACCTGAGCTGGATGCAGACCCTCAACTGACTGAGCCGCCCAGGCACCCCAATCCAGAGTTGTTTTTTTTTTTTTAATTCACTCAATTTATGGGGCGCCTAGATAGCTCAGCTGGTTAAGCATCTAACTCTTGGTTTTGGCTCAGGTCATGATCTCAGGGTTAGGAGATCAAGTCTGGATCAGGCTCCATGCTAAGTGCAGTCTGCTGAAGATTCTTTCCCTTCCTTTACCCTCCCACTCTGCTCCTCCCCCATGTGCTCTCTCTCAAATAAATATTTAAAATAAAAAATCTGTTCAATTTATGAATGTAAAAAAGCCTTGATTGCTCAATCTGAGGATTCTTTCTGTCCGTTTTACAATTCAGAAGTTTCAAAAACAGGATATAACCAAGTAACTCATACTCGTTTTTATATTTTAGTTTCTTTCAACTCAATATGGCCACATATTCTCCCTCTCTTTTTTTTTAAAGATTTTATTTATTTATTTATTTGACAGAGATCACAAGTAGGCAGAGAGGCAGGCAGAGAGAGAGGAAGGGAAGCAGGCTCCCTGCTGAGCAGAGAGGATCCCGAGATCATGACCCCAGCTGAAGGCAGAGGCCTTTACCCACTGAGCCACCCAGGCGTCCCGTCTCTCTCTCTCTTTTTTAAAGATTTATTTATTTGACACAGAGATAGAGATCACATGTAAGCAGAGAGGCAGGTAGAGAGAGAGGGGGAAGCAGGCTCCCTGCTGAGCAGAGCCCGATTCGGGGCTCTATTCCAGGACCCTGGTATCATGACCTGAGCCGAAGGCAGACACTCAATGACTGAGCCACCCAGGCACCCTAGGCACATGTTCTTAAACATTACTTGCTGTCTCAATCCTGTACTTCCTACTTAATTACATTACAAACTGTAAAAGGAAATTGACTGGCATTTTCATAGTATGTTCAAGCATGTACACAGTATGCTTACCTCACTTTTTATGATCTCTTCTAAGAACTCAGCTGAAAGGGGCTTTATAGAAAACTCTAACATATAACATTTAAAACTACAGATTTTTTTTTTTAAGATTTTATTTATTTATTTGACAGACAGAGATCACAGGTAGGCTGAGAGGCAGGGAGAGAGAGAGAGAGAGAAAGGGAAGCAGGCTCCCCGCTGAGCAGAGAGCCCGATGTGGGACTCGATCCCAGGACCCTGGGATCACGACCTGAGCCGAAAACAGAGGCTTAACCCACTGAGCCACCCAGGCACCCCAGAACTACAGATTTTTATAAGCAAGTTTTAGAAGACATCCCCAAATAAGTAATGATTGGTAAGGCCACAGTATGACACAGTATCCTGTAATACGTATTCTCTCTCCTCTCTAAAATATTACCTGATGGTATGAAGATACAGAAGTTTTCCAAATACCTACCTTTAAGTAATTTTTAAAAACTTTAGCATCAGGCTGTTGAAGCGCTTGACAAAACTCCTGAGGGGCCGAGATAGGAGAGAAAGAGAATGAATCTAATTGTATTAAATTCACTGTAATTCAAATCCAAATCTGAATTGTGTTTAAAAAAAAAAAAAAAGATTTTATTTATTTATTTATTTGACACAGAGAGAAATCACAAATAGGCAGAAAGGCAAGCAGAGAGAGAGGGGGAAGCGGGCTCCCTGCTGAGCAGAAAGCCAGATGTGGGGCTCGATCCCAGGATCCTGAGATCATGACCTGAGCCGAAGGCAGGGGCTTAACCCACTGAGCCACCCAGGTGTCCCTTAACCACTGTTTTTGTATGTATAGTACATTAGTATTAACTACATACATAGTGTTGTGCAACAGACCTCTAGAACTTTTCACCTTGTAAAACTAAAACTATACTCACTGACCATCAGTTCCTCCTCCCCCTGCAAACCCCTGGCCACCACCAATTCTACTTTCTGTTCCTAAGGGTTGGACTACTTTAGATATTCCATTTAGGTGGAATTACACAATATTTCTCTTTCCGTGACTGGCTTATTTCATTTAGCATAATGTCCTCAATGTTCATTCATGCTGTAGCACGTGAGAGCATGTCTTTTAAGGCTGAATAATATTCCATTGTATGTATATACTACATTTTACTTACCCATTCATCTGTCAAAAGACATTTAAGTTGCTTTAAATCTACAGTAGTAGTATGATAACTTATCAAAGTCAACTAGAACAGCTCCTCACCAAAAAAGGTTCTATGGCATCTTCAAATGTAATACTTGTCAGATACAGGTTGCTTTCACTTTTGAGAGCATGGCTCTCCTAAACAAGGTTGACTCATACCTGAGAAGGAAGAACGGAACAAAAACTACATTGCTCTGACTGTTCTCACCTAGTAAGAGTGGTAACTGAGCAGAGCTTGACCAAAATAAAAAGAGGTTAAGTCTAATAGAATTCTGCTAACGGTATTGTCAGAAGGCAAATGAAAAAAGGAAAACTGGGGATGCTTATTTTTTATAATCAGATTATTAGATAGAAATATAATTTTGCTTTACTTAACAATCTGGTGTATTTCTATTTTTGATGGGCATTAAGATCATTGAGTAATTAGCAATTTATTGCTTTCATTAAAACATTACCTTCCTTATGTAACAAATAATAGCTGAGAAAATTCATTAATACCTTCAAAGATGGTATGTCATGAAACAAGATCATAAATTCATTAAAAATGAGTTTTATGATCAATCTTATGTAAGACCTATCGTATTTTTCAATCAATCTTTTCATTGTCTTTTATAAAATAGCATAAAAATTTTTTAAAAACACTGTTGGTGAAAAAACAATTCTTAGAATCTGATGAAGAGATTTGTAATCAAAACTTTGATACCTCAATTAGATACCTCAATTAGATATATGTGCTGTTGGACAAGTCTAGGTAACTATATGCCAAGAAAATCACCGAATGCCATTAAAAAAATTACTCTGCAATAGTGTAAAAATGGAAGATTGCTTTCCAGATACTTCACAGTATAGTTTCAGTTTTAGAAAGTAAGCACTGATAAGCTTCACATATGTAAAATAAACTACCTAGCACAAATCTTCACAATAGGTTTGTGTATTGTAGTGCCCTTTGGCAATCTGGGGAGCCTACTGGACTCTTTATAGAATGCTTTTTAAAATTTATAATTTACAATATATGGGATTAAAAAAGAAACTTTGGTTATCAAAATGGTTATTAAAAAATTTTTTGATATGTGCTGGAATAATACGATTACTGACTGACTCGGATAGCAAGATCTAGTGGTGTATCTTCAGAACTCATAATTTCAATATACTGAAGTATAAATAGTATTGTGAGATTCCTAGAACAACTAATGTGACACAAAAACAGCTGTGATTTCTACTGGTGACAAAGTCACAGGCAATGTGAATGCTACTGTGATTTGTGATTTGTCACCTACACAATGGTAGGAAATTAAACTTTTGGTTAAAGGTTAGTAAAAATAAAAATATAATTTTCTCCCATTCAATTTCATGTACCCCTGAAGTCTGAACTCTGTGATCCTGTAAATAGTGAAACATCAAGCTGAATGCAGTTTAACTTTCTTTAAAAAAAAAAAAAAAAAAAAAAAAAAATTTTTTTTTTTAAAGGTTTTATTTATCCATTTGACAGACAGAGCACAAGTAGGCAGAGAGGCAGGCAGAGAGAGGGGGAAGCAGGCTCCCCGCTGAGCAGAGAGCCTGATGCAGGGCTTGATCCCAGGACCCCGAGACTATGACCTGAGCTTAAGGCAGAGGCTCAACCTATTGAGCCACCCAGGTGCCCCGCAGTTTAACTTTCTTGAATCAATATTTAGGTTGAACTACATAGTCTTATTTCTTTAATTGAATTAAGAGGCATGTCTGCTCTGACGGCTCTTACCTGAATTATTTCTGGAGCTACTTGCAAGGAAGGCAGATATTCTTGTTGAAGATACTGAACACATTCTGGGCCCTGAAAACCAAAAGATAATTATAACTGAATTATCTTGATATTAATGATGCATAAAAAGAAGTTAGAATGATACATGTACATGTCAAAAACAGTATGGTATTATGATTAAGAATATAGTCTGGGGGTGCCTGGGTGGCTCAGTGGGTTAAGCGTCTGCCTTTGACTTGGGTCATGATCCTGGGATGGAGCCCTCCACTGGGCTTCCTGCTCAGAGGGGGCTTGCTTCGCCCTCTCCCTCTGCCGCTCCCCCGCTTGTGCTGTCAAATAAATAAATAAAATCTTATAAAAGAAGAATATAGTCTGGAGTCAGACTGCTTTGGTTTGAGGCTTGACTCTGCAAAATTTCTGGTAACTTGAGGTTACTTAACCTGAGTCTCAGTTTCCCCATCCAAAAAATGGAGTTATTGTGAGGGGTGGATGGGTTAAGAAATATAAAGCTTTTAGAATAGTGCTTAGCATTCACTGCATGTTAACGTTACTTAGCATTATATCCATATCTTTTTTTTTTTTTTTTTTTGCTGCATTTCACTGCAAAATGCAAGTTATTTCACCACCCCCTGCCCCTTCTCTCTTTTTTAAAGTAAGCCCTACAGCCACTGTGGGGCTTGAACTCACAACCCCAAGATCAAGAGTTGCACGTTCTACCGACTGAGCCAGCCAGGTGCTTTTCATCTTTTTCTTCAGTGTACTCTCCTATATTTAGTACCCTTGCATTGCCCATCACCTCATATAACCCCACTGTTCTCACTTAAAAATGGAGTGTTGTTGTTGTTTTTTTAAATCAGGAGAAGTAAATGTGTACCTCAAGAGAAAATCAGTCAAATGAATAAATGAGAAAATAGAACCAAGGGAAACATTTTCAAATAGAATATTCTGTTTGATTCAATTCTGTGTGTCTAAATTAGAGCTTCCAAAAACCAAACAAATATTTTGGAATTGCAAATACCATTCTCACTGTTTCTATTCATTCTTCATCCTCCTTGATTTTCCTTTTTTAAAGGATTTTATTTTATTTTTTTTAAAGGATTTTATTTTTAAATAATCTCTACACCCAACATGGGGCTCAAACTCATAATCTCATGATTGAGAGCTACATGCTTCACCAACTAAGCCAGCCAGGTGCCCCCCTCAACTTTCTAGCATCCTCTCTTATGACTTTTTTTCTCTTAGCATTCATACCTCTGGTTACACTTCTAGCTTTCTCTTAAACTCTTGCTTTAGCCAGGGTTTTTTCCTATTCTGGTCTTAGATAGTCTCATTCATTCCTACCACTTTGCACTGACTATACACTGTGGACTCCAAAATCAGTATTTAGTTCTAACTGCTTCAGACCCATATTCCAAACTGCTCTCTGAATCTGCTTCAAGCCATCCTCAACTATAACCCTAGTGCCCACTGACTTCCCAACTTTTCATATATGACACAAGGCTTTTTTACCACCTAGTCCTGTTTTACTTTTTAGCTATGACTTTTACCTCCCCATTTTAGCTAAACAGGTAATTCTATTATTTTCTTTCTTTCTTTTTTTATTTTTAAAGATTATTTATTTATTTATTTGACAGAGATCACAAGTAGGCAGAGGCAGGCAGAGAGAGAGGAAGGGAAGCAGGCTCCCTGCTGAGCAGAGAGCCCGATGCGGGGCTCGATCCCAGGACCCTGGGACCATGACCTGAGCTGAAGGCAGAGGCCCCAACCCACTGAGCCACCCAGGCGCCCCAATTCTATTATTTTCTAGCAAATCTACAAGGCAACGTCTGCTCTGTCTTCATATACCTCCTTAACTTTGCCCAGAATGACAGCTCCTCCTCCTGTCAGTCCAATGAATCTACATGTGTCCTAAAGCCTATCAAAAAACGAAACCAAGGGACGCCTGGGTGGCTCCGCTGGTTAAGCCGCTGCCTTCTGTTCAGGTCATGATCCCAGGGTCCTGGGATCGAGTCCCGCATCAGGCTCCTTGCTCAGCAGGGAGCCTGGTTCTCTCTCTGCCTCTGACTGCTTTTGTGCTCTCTCTCGCTCTCTCTGACAAATAAATAAAATCTTTAAAAAAAAGGGGGGGGGGGCGCCTGGGTAGCTCAGTGGTTAAAGCCTCTTTCGGCTCAGGTCATGATCCCAGGGTCCTGGGATCGAGTCCCACATTCAGGCTCTCTGCTCAGCAGGGAGCCTGCATCCTCCTCCTCTCTCTCTCTGCCTGCCTCTCTGCCTACTTGTGATCTGTCAAATAAATTTAAAAAAATCTTAAAAAAAAAAACAACAACAATGAAACCAAGACTACTTCTATCCTATGGTTTTCTCATACTGCCATCAGAGCCAAATTACTTGCTCATCTTTAGTCTCACAATATTACATTTAATATAGATGTATTAATTTATTTCTATTCAAGTACTTAACCCACTGAGTTATTTACACATTGTGTCCCCTGATTCTAAGTCCTAAAAATATTGGGGGACTTTTAAACTTAACTCATCTTTATACAGCTCCCGTTACACCTGCCCTGCACCCAGTCCCCACATACTCTTCACCCTAGCATACAGCAGGCCTAGAGAAATTACTGCAGAAATGAAAACCCTCCAAATCTTTATCAGAATCAAAAACTCAAGTTCAAATGAGGGAGTGGACTGTGTGGAGACTGATGAATACTTTTTTGAGGGGTAGGAAGAAGCTGCTCTGTGGGAATGCCAGTCCTTTGTTGGCATCCTGGCTTTGAGAAGGTTGGAGACAGGAATTATTCTTTTTAAAAGTATCTGATTTTTATTTAAAAAAAAAAATTTTTTTTTTAAAGTAGCCTCCATGCCCAACAGGAGGCTCAAACTCACAATCCTGAAATCAGGAGCTGCATGCTCCACTGAGTGAGCCAGCCGGGCACCTCAGTACCTGATTTTTAAATGTTCACAATCAATTCATGTTACTAAAATATACTGTACCAAGTAAATAAGTCACCAACTGGATTTAGCCCAGAATCACTTAAAATTTTACAAACAATTAGATTGACAAGGAGAACAAAACATTCTGAAGTAGTGAAGAACTCTAACCATTTATAATACTTAAGAATTTGGAGAAATCTGGCAAAAAGTCAACTAAGTCATGAAACGTGGATCTTTTTACAATTTTTCACATTATTTGTCAAACCAAAACAAACATACATTTTAAACTTCTTGTTATCTGAAACATAAAGGATAGTAACAGATACTGTTACTTTCATTCAACCTCTTCCTCACCTTCAAAAAAGAACTAAATCAACTTTTACAAAAGATAGAGTAACAAGACAAGTCAAACACAGTTAAAACCATAACAAATCTCCATGTATGATGAAAACAAAGGGGCACACAACGCAGGGCTTACCCGTTTGAGATGAATTGTTTTCAATGTCACTGCACACTCAGATAAAGCCTATGAAAAACAAGTGTGAGTATTTTAATACACTTCATTTTTGGTTACTGATCCCACTTGTCTCTTTATTTCCCTGGCCACTGCTCATTAACAATTATTCCCAAACAAGGGACAGAGGAAGGAAAGTGACAGGCATATGGAATAAGTGGGTTGGATAGAAAAAGGAAAAAAATTTAAAAATGCTGTCTTAATGCACAGCGTATCAAATCATAAAATCTAGGTTTCTGCCTGACATCAGTATTCTGAAAATGAGATCTAGGGAAACTACTGTCCAAGCAAAAGAAAGTTACTCTTAATGGTCAGGAAAAAACCACTGTGCACAAGGTTTAGAATGAAAGTAGTAGAAAACTAGTAACTCAATCAAGTTTTAGTAAGTGCTTACATCACGTACACTTTCAAGGTTCTATAAAAAGAGGAGATGGAGGCTGTTAAAGTTGAAAGAGCTGGATTTTACATATGAAACTTTAGTATCAGGATTCAGTAAGAATATACAAAAGGCTGAGAAAATATCAACCTTTGAAAAATGAATCCTAATTTGAAATTAGTTAAAAATAATGGCAATGAGACTAATATAGTCAGCCTGGCATTAAAGAAATTGTGAGTTAGAATACACAAGATGTACACAAGGTAAACAAAGATTCCTAGGTGCTTACCAACACTGTTTGTGCATCTGCCAGGTCAAAGGTTTGTTTTAAAGGTGCTAGGAAACATGCGGGGACAATGTGCTTATAAACAAAATCAGCAAATCCCACTGGTCCATCTTTACCTCCTGTCAAGAGAATTCAAATTTTCATCTTGTATAAAAAGAAAGTCAATTAGTTATCCCTGGGGACAGTTAACTCCCAGCTCCTGTCTATGTTAGAGCCAGGGTTCCATTTCATCTCTAAGGGTCTTAAGAAACAGGTTGTGGAATGAAGTTTTTTGTTTTTTTATTTTTTTAAATCCTCTTACCCCAGAGTTCTACCAACTTGGAGAGGATGATAAAACAGGTTTTCTGTGCAATTGGATCTGGATATTCAACTGCTCCTTGGATAACAGTCACCAGCACTCGTTCTACATTCTCTGCACCTGAAATAAAAATTTTAGTTTAATCTTAAAATTTATTTGAGAGAGAGAGCACGAGTGAGGTTAGAGGAAGAATCTTCCAGTAGACTCCCCACTTAGCAGGAAACCTGACATGGGGATCCATCCCACAACCCTGACATCATGACCTGAGCTGAAACCAAGAGTCCGACACTTAACGGACTGAGATACCCAGGCGCCCTAAGCTTAATTTTATTTTTTATTTATTTATTTTTAAAGATTTTATTTATTTATTTGACAGACAGAGAACACAAGTAGGCAGAGAGGCAGGCAGAGAGAGAGAGAGAGAAGCAGGCTCTGCACTGAGCAGAGAGCCCGATGTGGGGCTCGATCCCAGGACCCTGGGATCATGACCGGAGCTGAAGGCAGAGGCTTCAACCCACTGAGCCACCCAGGCGCCCCCCTAAGCTTAATTTTAAAAAGAACCTAGAAAGGCAACCTGAAGCACTCTGTTGTAAAATATTTTATTTATTTATTTGAGAGAGAGAGAGAGAGAAATGGAGCAGGGGCAGGGCAGAGGCAGAAGCAGACTCCTTTCTGAGCAGGGAGCCCAAAAGGGGGCTCAACCCCGGGACTCTAGGATCATAGAAGCTTAACTGACTGAGCCACCTAGGCAGTCCTCGTTGTTTCTTTTCATTTTTATTTTTGGGTAATTTAATTAGCTTTTATTTTTATTTTTAAATTTTTAAATTTTTTTTAAATTTACATTTTAGGTGGTTAACACAGTGCAATACTGGTTTCTGGAGTAGAATACAGTGATTTGTCAACACACATACATACATACAACACTGAGCGCTCATAATACCTTCCTTAATACCCATCTCCCATGTAACCCATCCCCCACCCACCTCCCTCCATCAACCTTGTTTGTAATCTATAGTTGAGTCTTTTATAGCTTGTTTTGCTCTCTCCTTTCTTTTCCCCATTCCCATATGTTCATATTTTCTTTCTTAAATTCCACAAGAGTAAGATCATACAGTATTTGTCTTTTTCTGACTCACTTCACTTGGCATAACACACTCTAGCTCTCTCCCACCCATGTCACTGCAAAGAGCAAGATTTCATTTTTTTGATAGCTAATATTCCATTGTATTTATCTGCCACATCTTTATCCCTTCATCAATCCATGGACATTTGGGCTCTTTCCATAGTTTGGCTACTGTTAATGATGATGCTATAAACATCCAGGTGCACGTATCCCTTCAAATCTGTATTTCTGTATCCTCTGGGTAAGTACCTAATAGTGCAATTGTTGGGTCATAGGGTAGTTCTATTTATAACTTGTTGAGGAACTTCCATACTCTTCTCCAGAATGGCTGCACGTTAACATTCCCACTAATAGTGCAAGAGTGTTTCCTTTTCTCCACATCCTTGCCAACATCTGTTGTTTCTTGGGTTAATTTTAGCCATCCTGACAGGTGTGAGATGGTATCTCATCTGGTTTTGATTTGCATTTCCCTGATGATGAAAGATGTTGGGCAGCTTTTCATGTGTCTGTTAGCCATCTTGATGTCATTTTTAGAACAGTGTCTCTTCATGCCTTCTGCCCACTTTTTTTTTTTTTTTAAAGGTTATTTATTTATTTGACAGAGAGAGATATCGCAAGTAGGCAGAGAGGCAGGCAGAGAGGAGGGGAAGCAGGCTCCCTGCTGAGCAGAGAGCCCAATACGGGGCTCGATCCCAGGACCCTGGGACCATGACCTGAGCTGAAGGCAGAGGCTTTAACCCACTGAGCCACCCAGGTGTCCCTTCTGCCCACTTCTTAACTGGGTTATTTGTTCTGGGTGTTGAGCTTGATAAGTTCTTTATATAGATTTTGAATACTATCCCTTTATCCAATAAAACATTTGCTAGTATCTTCTCCTATTCTGTCAGTTGTCTTTTGGTTTTGTCGACTATTTCCTTTTGCTGTGCAGAAGCTTTTTATCTTGATGAAGATCCTTTTGTTTCCTTGCCTGTGATGATATGTCTCGTAAGGAGTGGCTATGGCTGAAGTTAAAGAGGTTTCTGCCTTTGTTCTCCTCTAGGATTTTGATGGTTTCCCATCTCCTATTTGGGTCTTTTATCCATTTTGAATTTATTTTTGTGTATGATGTAGGAAAGTGGTCCAGTTTCCTTCTTCTGCATGTGGCTGTCTGGTTTTCCCAACGCCGTTTGTTGGAGAGACTGTCTTTTTTCCATTGGATATTCTTTCCTGCTTTGTCAAAGATCAGTTGACCATAGAGTTATGGGTTCATTTCTGGGGTTTCTATTCTGTTCCATTGATCTAGGTGTCTGTTTTCATGCCAGTACTATACTATCTTGATGACTGCAGTTTTGTAATATAGCTTAAAATCTGGAATCCTGATATCTCCATCCAGGTTCTTCTTTTTCAGAATTGCTTTGGCTATTCAAGGTCTTTTGTGGTTCCATACAAATTTTAGGATTGTTTTTTCTAACTCTGTTGAAAATACTGGTGGTATTTTGATGGAGATTGCATTAAATGTGTAGATTGCTTTGAGCAATATAGACATTTTAACCGTGTTTGTCTTCCAATTCATGAGCATGGAATGCTTTTCCATTTCTTTGTGTCCTCTTCAATTTCCTTCATAAGTGTTTTATAGTTTTCAAAGTATAGATCTTTTACTTCTTTAGTTAGATTTATTCCTAGGTATCCTATTGTTTTTGATGCAATTGCAAATGGGATCAATTCCTTGATTTCTTTTTCTGCTGCTCTGTATTGGTGTATAGAAATGCAACAGATTTCTACACATTGGTTTTATATCCTGTGACTTCGCTGAATTCCTGTATAAATTCCAGTAATTATTTGGTGGAGTCTTTTGGGTTTTCTACACAGAGTATCATGTTGTCTGCAAATAGTGTAAATTTGACTTCTTCCTTGCCAATCTGCATGCCTTTTATTTTTTTTGGTCATATGATTGCTGAGGCTAAGACTTCCAGGACTATGTTAAATGTGGTGAGAGTGGATATCCCTGTCTTGTTCCTGACCATGGAGGAAAGGCTCTGTTTTTCACCACCAAGGATGATATTAGCTGTGGATCTTTCATATATGGCCTTGTGATGTTGAGGTATGTTATCTTTATCCCTACTTTGTTGAAGGTTTTGTTTTTAAACATTTTATTTATTCAGGGCACCTGGGTGGCTCAGTTGGTTAAGTGACTGACTTTGGCTTGGGTCATGATTCTGGAGTCCCAGGATCAGGTCCCGCAATGGGCTCCCAGCTCCACGTGGAGTCTGCTTCTCCCTCTGCCCTTCTCCCCCTCTCATGCTGTCTCCCACTGTCTCTCAAAATAAAATAAATAAAAATCCTTAAAAAGAAAAAGATTTTACTTATTTATTTGAGAGAGTACAAGCAGGGGAAGAGACAGAGGGAGAAGCAGATTCCTGCTGAGCTGGGAGCCTGACATGGGGCTTGATCCCAGGACCCGCAGATCATGACCCAAGCTGAAGGCTCAGATGCCCAACCATCTGAGCCAGCCAGGTGCCCCTTGCTGAGGATTTTTATTAGGAAAAGATGCTGTATTTTGTCAAATGCTTTCTCTGCATCTATTGACAGGATCATATAGTTCCTATCCTTTCTTTTATTAATATCATGTATCACACTGATTGACTTACAAATACTGAAACACCCCTGCAGCCTAGGAAGAAATCCTACTTGATCGTGGTGAATAATTCTTTAAATATATTGTTGGATTCAATTTACTAGTATTTTATTGAGAACTTCTGCATCCATGTTCATCAGGGATACTGGCACTATAATTCTCCTTTTCAGTGGGGTCTTTAGTTTTGGAATCAAGCTAATGCTGGGTTTGCAGAAGTTCTCACTTCATATAGTGTAACAAGACAAAGCCATTTACAGAATTGGTAAGATCCCTCAATTTTTACTAATCTGGATCTTAAATTTTAACCATAAAACACTGAAAAGTAACTAGTCCCTTGTTATATTGCCCTCTGGATTTCTTACATAGCAAAATTCTCTATGTTGCTCAATACAGTCCCATTTATTTTTCAATTAGCAACAACTGCACCTCGTATAAACCTCATTGGCTACAATACTGCCCCTGCACAGAGCTAGTCCCATTTACTTTTAATTTCAAAATGGCAAACTGGCCAGTAAGATTCAACGGTCAGGTCAATGCTCACAAGCCGCCACCATGCTATTTATACCACCAAGGAATCAATTAAAGAATACTGCCCTAGGAAAAAGGGAACTGAATACAAATTATTTTTAAGGTCCTCTACATGAAATTGATTCCCACCTTGATAACAATGAACTGTCACCCCAGGGTAAAACACATAACCACTTTAAAAGTTTGGTTTTTACTTCAACTAGCTCTTGCCCATACTGATATACAACAGCAACAAGGCCTCAAGCAGATAATCTCAGCGTCCCACCTTGATTTGCTATGACTTCGCTCATTCCACTGCCTGTGACTGTTTGCAGGAAAGCAAAGTAACTCCTTCGCAACATTTGCTTCTCTAAAGCAGCAGATTGGTCATTTTCTTCTGCTGGTCGGAGCAATACCTCAAAAATTGCATGAAGTAGAGGCATGAACATTTGCTGTAAAAATGGAGATACCTGTATCTGAAGATAAAAAACAAAAATTACTATTTCAGAAATGTGAAAAATATTAATACAAAACTTAGAAAAATACATTTAACAAAAAGCCTTTATGCAGAGTTTCTATTTAGGATATGTATTTACATAATTCTATTGGCAAATATCAGTTCTAGGACAAAAATCTGTGTTAAGCATATACATTATTTAAATCTTCAAAACTGTTAGTCCAACTCATTTCCTACAGTTAAAGAATCAGGTTAAAATAATAAGGATTCAGGGGCGCCTGGGTGGCTCAGTCATTAAGCGTCTGCCTTTGGCTCAGGTCCTGACCCTCGGGTCCTGGGATCGAGCACCTCATGAGATTCCCTGCTCAGCAGGAAGCCTGCTTCTCCCTCTCCCCACCTTGTGTTTGCTTTCTCGCTCTCTGTAAAATAAATAAAATCTCAAAAAAAAAAAACCCCAAAAATAGGGATTCAGATATATTTCACAACTGAATATTGCCATAATTATCAAGAAATGAATTCTATTGCTAAATTACATGCAGAATTTATAAGACTGGGCTCTCAAGGCTTTATGTGCCTGATGCAAATTGCTTAACTTCTGTGTCTCAGTTTCTTTGTCTATAAAATACAATGGTTCTCTCTAGGGCTAATTAGGAGGATCAAATAAATTAATGTACCAAAAAAAGGCTTAGAACAGATTTTGAACAGAAAGCACTACATGTTAGCCATTTTTATTTGCCAGCTTATACTTGGTTTACATTTCCTTGTACAATAAAACTGACTTTAGCACAATGAATTAACTTCAAACTTCTGCTTGGGCACCCAAGGTGCAAGTTTTTATTTACCTCTAGACATTTTAGTACTCAATGGCATTTTCATTTGCTTTTCTAAAATAGCAGACTGCTTCTTCTGCACAGAGCAGATAAGGTTTGTTTTTATTAAAACATCCATTAAGCATGGCCTATGTGTCAGGTAGTGTGTGAGTCACTGGAGATGACAACAATATTTATGGTCTATGCCCTCAAGTGACTTCTATTAAAAAACAAAACAAAACAAAATGTATCTAAAGGTCAATATATCTAATTTGTAAGTCAGGAGATTCTCTGAGCTCTAAAAGGTCAGTGGTACCTTAAATTTGGCTGTAATCTGGTTGATAAGAGGAATGAACTCCTGGAGGTCTTTTGCTTCACAATCTTTGAGCATATGTTCTGAGGCAGACGGGATGAATGGGAGAACTTCTTCCTCTAGGCAAATAATCATGCGATGAAGGAAAGTACGAACTCCACTTCTGAGAATATCCTTTTGCAAGGGACAACTGAGAGCTGGCAAGAATGTCTGTAAACAGTCCAGATAAACTTCGGAACAGCCACACTGTTTCACAGTCTGCTTGTTGCTGAAAGCTTTGCTGGTTCGGCTACACAAGCAAAATCAGGCAACTAGTTTTAACTTTTTGCTTTAATAAAAGTTTTATGGAGTAATGAAAAATAATGCACAGCTAATTACACATTTGACAAAACTAAGAAGCCAATTGTTTACATTCTATGTCACAACTACTTCCATCTTTAACTAATATGGCTATTTGTACTATTACTGCTTCCAGGTGCCATTCCAGAAAGGGTTCAAATTAAATGAATGAGGAGTAATTGATATAAGCCTTCTAATGAGAACCCACCTAAATGTTTTACTAAAATCCTACTGATAAAGTACGTAGAAAAAAGGAAAAAAAAAATCCACTGCTATGACTAGGCTGTACTAGACAATCTACAAACTCCTGATTTAAATTTAGTAAACAATCTGGGACGCCTGGGTGGCTCAGTTGGTTAAGCAGCTGCCTTCGGCTCAGGTCATGATCCCAGCGTCCTGGGATCGAGTCCCACATCGGGCTCCTTGCTTGGCGGGGAGCCTGCTTCTCCCTCTGCCTGCCATTCTGTCTGCCTGTGCTTGCTCTCTCTCCCTCTCTCTCTGACAAATAAAAAATTAATTTAAATTTAGTAAACAATCTTTAGAATGAAGTTATTTATAAAACCTAACATTAGCTTTTGCACTGAAGTACTGTGTAGAACAGTATCTCTGTGCAGCTTCTAAAGAGCAATCACTGCAACTTCCATACTGTTACTGCTCGCCAATGAAATATATGGGCCGTGAGAAGGAAGAGCAGCTTGGGGAGTCTTCAGGACAAAATGAGAGAGCTAAAAAGAAGCATCAACATTATCAGTACCGGGGCACCTGGGTGGCTCAGTGGGTTAAAGCCTCTGCCTTCCGCTCAGGTCATGATCCCAGGGTTCTGGGATCAAGCCCCACATCAGGCTCTCTGCTTGGCAGGGAGCCTGCTTCCCTTCTTCTCTCTCTGCCTGTCTCTCTGCCTGCTTGTGATCTCTGTCAAATAAATAAATAAAAAATCTTAAAAAAAAAAAAAAAAGATTATCAGTACCAAGACTGATCCAAGATGTCCCAGTATGTCACTGTTCTATAAACTTGTTAGCCAGGGACACCTGAGCAGCTCAGTCAGTTAAGCATCTGTCTGCCTTTGGCTCAGGTCATGTTCCCAGAGTCCTGGGATCGAGCCCTACATCGGGGTTCTTGCTCAGCAGACAGCCTGCTTCTCCCTCTGCCTGCCGCTCCCTGCTGCTTGTGCTGACAAATATTCTTTTGAAAAACAAAAACAAAAAACTCTTCAGCTAATTCCCTCAAACACATGAACAGTTTATTCTAAAGAAGTCAGAGGAGTTAATGCTTCAGACAGTTGTCAAACCAGAAATACAGACTGTTATGTGATCTATTCCCTTCTTCAGCTAAATCTTCTAATTCACTGGATTTAGAGAAGAAAGGTTTAGATAATTCTCTCCACAATTTTTTCTTTGAAACATGGGTGTGTATGCCCAATTCTAACAGATCCATGTAAATGGTTCTTTGTGTGTATAGACACTCAATTTACAATTTTAATTATAATCACACTCACCTGGCAAATCCAACAGCATGGTTCAGACAGTCTGCTAGTGATGCCTGTCTTTCTTCATCTTGCACCAGCATCAATTTTTCTAACAGAATTTTAAACTTCTCCATCAATGGGGTCAACAGATTTCTCATTAAGGCTTGTTTCCGTTCAGCTGGATATTCACTATTAACAATCAGCACTCCAGCTGTCTCATAAATAAACAGTTGATCATCACTGCTCAACAAAGACTGGTAACCATTCTCCTAGAAAGAAATTCAGTCCTATTGGTGTTTATCATTGTTCATTCAGTTCCTCTGATTTAATCACAGTAAGTCCCTCTAAAGCATTTAAGTACCATTAGGACTATAACTGCTGTAGCAGTTCAGAAAACAAAGATAAAGGAGCTATATAAAGTAGTTAAAAAATTTATACTTAAAACCCTATTAAGCAGACAACATCCAGTAAACACAATTTGAATGAAGTCTTTTTATATACTAAAAAGAGATTACAGGTATAGTACAAGCCCTTGTTTATATGACTGGTATAAAAAAACATGAAAAACTTCTAATATTGATAAGATAATATGGCTAACAGGAATTTTTTTTAAAGTAGGCTCCATGCCCAGCATGGAGCCCAACACAGGGCTTGAACTCACAACCCTGTGATCAAGATCTGAGCTGACATCAAGAGTCAGATGCTTAAGGGACTGAGCCACCCAGATGCCTGAGGACTTTCTGAATGCCTAAGTCTTATAAGTCAGTGTGAACTGCCACAGAAAATAGGCATTAATCAAATGAAGTACTTTAATATATAGGGTTCTATAATATGCAAAGATAATTTAACCATATAATTCATTAGTAATCTTTCATGCAGTCTAATTCTGTAATCACTATACCCTAAATACTGATATTTACTTAAAAGAATAAAAGTTTCTTTCTTTTTTTTTTTTTTTTAAGATTTTACTTATTTGACAGAAAGAGACACAGTGAGAGAGGGAACAAAAGCAGGGAGAGTGGGAGAGGGAGAAGCCGGCTTCCCGCCGAGCAGGGAGCCCAATGTGGGGCTCGAACCCAGGACCCTGGGATCATGACCTGAGCTGAAAGCAGACGCTTAATGACTGAGCCACGCAGGCACCCCAAATAAAAGTATTTTTATGTTTAACATTTCTCAAGTGGCTGCTCCAATAGAAACTTTTATCAAAATGAAAAAAAAAGTCAATGTCAGTAGACAAAAACATGTAGAAGTTAAAACATAGTTACAAAGTAGCTCAACTTAAATATTTCTTGTGAAATGAATACCAAAATATCGACCAGCATTTAAATTTTACCCAAAGCCTTAAGCTACCCCCCAAAACTCAATCTAATGCATTCACTTAGCAGGCTAATCACTTAGCCTAGCAGTCACTTAGAATGGCTAATATGATCTTATACTAAGTAGTAAATAATTTAGAAATTGAATTTTTCCTTCTCCATAAAATACTTCAACATTTAACAGAGGGCAGACCTTATCTCACTCAGCCAAATTTATCAGTCAGCTCCTTTCCATTTTTATTCTTTCTTTTTTTAAGATTTATTTATTTATTGGCAAGGGGAACAGAGGGAGAGGGAGAGAGAAACTCAAGCAAACTCTGTGCTGAGTGAAAAACCCAACTGGTGGTGGTGGTGGTGGGGCTTGAATCCATAAACCTGAGATCATGACCCAAGCAAAAACTAAGTGTTGGGGGCACCTGGGTGGCTCAGTAGGTTAAGCCTCTGCCTTCAGTTCAGATCATGATCTCAGGGTCATGGGATCGAGCCCTGCATTGGGCTCTCTGCTCAGCGCAGAGCCTGTTTCCCTCCCCTCTCTCTGCCTGCCTCTTTGCCTACCTGTGATCTCTGTCAAATAAATAAATAAAATCTTAAAAAAGAAAAACCAAAAAACACCAAGTGTTGGACGCTTAACTGACTGTGCCACCCAGGCACCCCTCCATTTTTATTAATTCTATTACTATGCTTTGTTTGCTAATATCAACAGAATCTTGGTAAAGAGAACTAATTCCTCAACTCTGATGAGGAAACTAACAGAACTAACACAACCCCTCATCTTTGCCATCACCCCCCATTAAGAAAACTGTTTACAAGGCATTAGCATTAAAGGCTAAAAAGGCAGGTGTGGCATCAATGATACTTGGGGAAAATCTGTAATTTGTAAAGATAGATACTTACAGGTGGAGAAAGCTCTAGTAAATCTTGTATTCTATTCAGAATATCCTCAATGAAAGGATTCATTTGTTTACTGAATAAAGGCAAAAAAGGAAAATCACAATTACATAAACCAGTGTGCTCAAAATACCAAATTTCCTTTTAAAGAGGATAGAACTAAAAAAAAAGTTCAATTCTAAGCTAGTCAGATGTTATCATTAAGACAAGTTAGGATTTTTAAGAATTACAACCTTATAACCTAAGTAAGAACAAGTAGTTTTCATACCAAGAAAATAGTACTAGTAAAAAACACCACAAAACAGAAAGGTCAAAAAATTTATTTCTAAGAAATATGTTCTTTAGGATTTCAAATAAACCAGAGAGTAATCCACAGCAATAAAACTTAGTTAAATAAATAACTAATGTCATTAATGATGACAGGTGTTATATATAAAAGTATGCAAACAAATCATTTCACAGTGATGAACATGGCTAATGAAAAGTAAAAGAAGTCGTAACATTAGGATACCAAGAAAGTAAACCTGACTGAAAAAACAAAACAAAACAAAAAACCAAATCTATCACAGGCTTTTAGAAAATAACATACAGGTCTTATTTAACAATCTTAAAAACAAAAAGTAAACATAACAGCTGATGTTTAGTACTTACTTCAGAGATTTCACAAATCTGGAAAACAGGTAAGCAGTTCTGCTCCGTACTTTTGGACTAGAATGCCGCAGACCCCTATGATCTAAGAAAGCCATCTAAAGAAAGAGAGACACTTTTACTTAAAATTTTTATTGGTATTGTCACAATATATTTTTGTTCACATCAAATTTTACTTCTTAGCTCCTGGAAGACAGGAACCAGGTATATATAACACATAATCCCTGAGGACACCAAGAAGCCCTTGAGGCCTTGTTTTAGATGACTTATTAAGCCAGAAACTGTCCATTTTAAAGAAACAGAGGAAGGGCTGGTATCAGTATATTCAAGAGTTTCTCAGAGCTTTTGGCTCTGGGAAAGGTTATAAAGATAGAATCCTATCTGCTCATCAACTGAAATAAATCGAAAAACAAAAAACCAACCCAGAAATGGAGAATAAATGTATACTTACTAATACACATGGAATGTGTTGAGGTTCAACTGTAAAAAACTTTTCATATCTAACAACAGTTTCGAAGAACTCCAATGTCACAGATGTATGCTGATAGGAACTAACTCCTGATGTTACCAACTGGGCAAGAAAAAGTTAAGAAATCTGTTCTTATTCATTGTAACATCAAAATGCCCCAGTATTAACAGATGCTAAATTAAAGAACTCCCACTAGCTTATAGTGAAAACAGAAAATTATGTTCAAAATAAATTATCTGTAGTATACTTACAGTTCGCATCATATCCTGCAAAGCACTAGCTTTTGAAACATCACCTGAGAAGTGAGCACCATGAGACACTGGAAGAGCTTCTGCCAGCATATACAGCAATCTTATTGCTACTTCAACTTCCATAAAACGTGTCGTCTGCCAATTCCTACCATAAGACAGTATATATGAGAGATCTGAGTATAAACTTTTTCTATAACACTGACAAAAGCCTCTTAAGTCGTAGCAATTATTAATTTTAACAGGCAACAAAATTCACATCACAAAAGTAGAAATAACTGATGTGATCCATTTTTGTTTACATTCCAAAGAGCAGTGTTTCCCCACAAGGAGGATGATAAATGGAGATAACAATGATATGGATGGGGCTAGACTGTATCATGCTAAGGGAAATAAGCCAGTCAGAGAACAACAAATACTCTATGATTTCACTCACATGTGGAATTTAAGAAACGAAACGGATGAACCAAGAGGAAAAGGAGAGACAAACCAAAAAACAGACTCTACAACAGAGAACAGACAGATGGTATCCACAGGGGAGGTGAGTGGAGCGATGAGTCAAATACATGATGGGGATTAAGAGTACACTTGTCATGATGAGCAATAAACAACGTATAGAATTGCTGAATCACTACAATGCACACATAAAACTAATATAACACTATGTTCACTATACTGGAGTAAAAAAAAGATGAAGACAAACGCACTGGTTCAGAGATACAGAAAGATCTTAGTAAGTAACAAAGATTAGTTATGTGAATCACTTATTGTAGACCACATCACAGAGAAAAGGAAGGAGGTAGAATTGTTACAAAAACAGTAACAAACTTACTGCAGCGTAGAACTAAAAACTCTGCGCACAGAAGCCAGCAGTAACTCTGGTGAAACTTGAGCAAGTCTGTCCAACAGTAACTTCAGTTGTTTTCTATACTCTACAAACATGGCTTCATCTTCACCCTAAGATATATTTAAAAATTCTTATTTTAAAACTTAAAAGACCCTAAAATTCATATAAGTGGTTAGTTCTCATATAGTTTTCTGCATTTCTAAATGTAATATGTACTTTTATTTTTTCATTAACATTTATTTACACAGGAAAACTTACTATGGTCAGTAGCCTTTCCTCTCCTGCCCACAAGGAAGTATTTCTGAACATAGCCTTAGATCTCAAAAGCCTAGAGCCAGGAACAGTATAGATAGGCAGGAGGTTAAGAACAAGAATCTAGAGCCAGAATGGGTTTACACTGGGCTTTATGATAACTTCACCACCTTATTCATACTCCTTGTATCTTGTAATACTCTATGAATGAGGATATATATATAAAAACAAGTCTGGTTCTTTGCAAGTGTGTAATACTTTGGTTATCATCACCATTATCTTTTTATTTACAGTCCAAGGTTTTTGAAAGCCTCAGATGGGGAATTAAACACTTAGCATGTTGCAAAACAGTATAAGTGATGCTTGAGTTGATAGAAAGCACCTGATGATGATCCTTATGCTTGAGGCTAAATGCTTCACTGGCAACCCTGGATGAGACTTATAAATGGACCAAGTCCAGAGAGCTGAGTGACTCACTCGCACTTTCCCACAGACACTTAACAATCTGAGGTCCACTGACCAGGCCTCAACTCATCACTCTTATAATTACAAAGTGAAATGTGATCAGCAATGATACTGTCAATACTTTACAAAGTTCAATGCTACAAAGTGTTTTAAAAAGGGACACAATACCAAAAAGGTATTTTTTGAAGGTATTATGAAGGCTTATGAAGCTTCTATTAATTCCACCTAAGGTTGAGGTCAATAATAAACAAATGATTATTAAAATACTTCTTACTTTAAAGCACTCTAAAATAATCAAAATTTAAAATGTTAACTTAAGTAAATAATGACTTAAAAATGATTTCTCCCTAATGTAAAATCCTTACCTCATTTTCAAAGTTATATTCTTCATCATAAGTCAGTTTTTTCATAACGGCCAACATGATTGCCTAAAATTAAGAATAAAATGTCTTTTGTCAGTTTCCTTTTATCAGATATATTTTGAAATTAAGCTGCATTTCAAGTCAGACTGCAGATACAGATTCTGGTATCAGTTTATAAGCAAAAAGAAGTCAATTACCTCTACGTTAGCTTTTTGCTGATCCGAGAGCACTGGAAGCTGTTAAAAAGTAAGCAATAAGTTTATAAGATTTCCTAAAGTCATACTTGCTTATCAAAATACTTTTAAGATTTTATTTATTTGAGAGGGAGCACAAGCAGGGTGGGGAGTGGGAGATGGGAGAGTGAGATGCAGACTCCCTGCTGAGCAGGGCTCAATCCCAAGACCCAAGGATCATGACCTGATCATGACACGTAGCCTCTTAATTACGTGATCCACCCAAGCACCCCTCAAAATATTTTTCTAATCAATGAAGATCTTTTAAAACATGCACACTTCTTTGGAGGGAGGTTTGGTAATACCTTTCTATATTTCAAATGCACCTAACATAAGATCTAGCAATTCCATTTCTACTAAATAACTTGACATGTACATAAATTTTAACTTTAAGCATATTTATAATATATTCACCAAAGAAATTTATAGGACAGTAAAGTATGGTCTTGTTTTCAAGCAAGGCAAAAAAAAAAGCTAGAGGTCCATTAAGAGACACACAGTGGTATTACAGGAGTCATTTTAACTTTTTTCATATTTTCATGTCTTTCCCATTACCTTAAATTTCTTAAGGTATGTAGGCAGATGTGTGTTTCATTTATAACAATAATACGGAAGCTAGTATTTTAAGCTTGACTTGATTTAGTTAATCAAATGTAAGTAAAATAGGAATGGTTTTCTCATCTAATGACATAATGGGAAATTACTAATTTTTAAAAGGCTATCGGTCATAATAAGGAGACTATTAACCGTCTACATTTTAAATTCTTAGTGGAAGCAATTCTCTAAGAGAAAATTTTTAATTGAAAAAAATTGCTTGTAAGAAATGCTCTATATGTAATTAAGATAATGAACAATGTTTAACAAGATTTCTACTATATTTAAAACAGAGGGGTGCGTGGGTGGCTTAGTCAGTTAAGTGTCTCTCTTTTTTTTTAAAGATTTTATTTATTTGGGGCGCCTGGGTGGCTCAGTGGGTTGAGCCGCTGCCTTCGGCTCGGGTCGTGATCTTAGAGTCCTGGGATTGAGCCCCACATCGAGCTCTCTGCTCGGCAGGGAGCCTGTTTCCTCCTCTCTCTCTGCCTGCCTCTCTGCCTGCTTGTGATCTCTCTGTCAAATAAATAAATAAAAATCTTTAAAAAAAAAAAAAAAATTTATTTATTTATTTATTTGACAGACAGAGATCACAAGTAAGGCAGAGAGGCAGGCAGAGAGAGAGGAGGAAACAGGCTCCCTGCTGAGCAGAGAGCCCAGCATGGGGCTCGATCCCAGGACCCTGGGATCATGATCTGAGCCGAAGGCAGAGGCTTAACCCACTGAGCCACCCAGGCGCCCCAAGTGTCTGACTCTTGATGTCAGCTCAGGTCTTGATCTCTGGTTCATGAGTTTAAGGCCTGCCCTGGGCTCCATGCTAGGTGTGAGGCCTACTTAATAAAAAAAGAAAAAGAAAAGGAAAAAAAAATAATAAAAATATATTCGAAATGAAAAAATAACCTAAACCTGTAGCTTTTAATTAGTTACCAATTTTTAATTGGTTAAAGTCTAGTGAATTTTAGAACCTGGCTATTCCCATTTTCTGGCTAAGAAGCTGAGTTGGGGGGGCGGGGGAGAGACGAAAGTACATTACTATTTAACAGTAAATATCATTAGCTAGTAGAATTATGGGTATTTTCTTCTTCTCATTTTTCCTGTATTTTCCAATTCTCTATGGCTTGCTTATATTATCTACTGGGCAAAAAAGAGTAAAACAAGGACTCACCTGTTTCAAAATATGAAGATAATCGTAACAGAATCCAATAATGTTAGAAGAGATGTCATCATCCTCATGAATTAGTAGCTGCAGCATCAGCGCCACTTTTGTTTCAATAGCTTGTAGTGCCTCTTGAGCATTCTTGATATCCCCATTCTTAATTAATTTAGTCCAACTAACTATCAATGACTGTCCCATTCCATTTACCAGCTTAGAAAATCTGGCTAGAAAGTCAACATCTTCTTCCTATTAAGCAATCAAGAGAGACCTCAATTTAAAACCACCCACATAAGCAACAAACAAACAAAAAACACCCACATAAAAGTAAGAAGAAAAACTCTGAACTTTAGTATGAATCAAGTGCAAATTGTAAGATTCAATTTTAAGCTAACATTAGACATTTAACCATTCTACCATCTGAACTGAAAAACTTTTAGAATTTGAATTCTACTATTATTAACCACTTGTACTCTTTCAAGCAACTCTTTTTAATGGTTATAGACCTATAGATATTGCCAATTTTATAAAAGCTTAAAAAAAAAAGAGAACCGTGGTTTCAAAACCTTTCTTCTAAACTGTTCAAGTTAGGGGCACCTGGGTGGCTCAGTGGGTTAAAGCCTCTGCCTTCGACTCAGGTCATGATCCCAGAGTCCTGGGATTGAGCCCCGCTGTGGGCTCTCTGCTCATCGGGGAGCCGGCTTCCTCCTCTCTCTCTGCCTGCCTCTCTGCCTACTTGTAATCTCCGTCTGTCAAATGAATAAATAAAATCTTTAAAAAAAAAACCAAAACAAAAAAAACTGTTCAAGTTAGTAAACATGCTGTATAAGTTATGTCATATTACAGTATGTGTAACAATTTATAACAATTTGAGCCTTAACTATGCTGCAAAGTGACAGAACTGCTATTATAACTACCTAAGGTCACACCAGTGTGTCAGAACTCAAACTTCAGATTGTTTTCATTAATTATCCTTCTGATGTTCTCATATAGAAAGAGATGTTACCTTCATCATCTTAGGTCTTTTACCACAGACTAAAGAAAACAATTATTAACAATGTAAGAAAACGTTACTATTCTTCTGTCAGCGAGAATAACACTAAATCTGACATAACAACAAAACAGATTTCTTACTAATTTTTTTTATCATTGTCACAGTAAAATAGAAATCTTCAAATTCTGTTTCTAATTACTTACCACACTCAGAGCCTTCATTCTGTTGGGGCTAAATTCCAACGGCTCAAATGAGTAACAATTCAAAAGTATAGTGAAAATGTAGTATTTATAACTAAGTCTAGTTTTGGTCAAAATATATTGGCATATATATACTATAGTTCTTTGCTACGTAAAGTATAGACCAGTAGTATCAGAATCAACTTGAAGTTTGTTAGAAATCCACAATTGCAGGTACCATCCCAGATTTCAAGTTTAATAACTGGTATAATCTACCATGGGGGCCAATGCTACAGATAACATTATGGCTTTCTGGATACAATGTTTCCTTATAGTCACGGAGAATTTATAAAACTAAAAAAAAAAAAAAGAAAAGAAAAGAAAAGAAAAGAAAAAGAAAAAGAAAGCATGTTTAAATTAGTACCTTTTCTACTTTGTTGTATCAATTCTCCAAACTTCATACATAAATTTACTGACCTGGTCAATGCTGAAAAATCCAGCAGATTGTAATACTTGACACAAAGATTCTACTAGTTTCATTTTATCAACAGGATCCATTCCTTTATTTACAATTTCAAATAAACAGTCACATGCTTCTTCCCGTAGAACTTCTATTGACATATGACCTAGCAGCATATTTATAAACCTGGAAATAGGAGGAAAAAATTGTTAACAATGTTTTCAAATTCATGAGTTTTACATACTGTATTCTGTAGGTCTATCTTTAAAGTATAGGAATACTTACCTATCATTGGCTATAAGGGATAAGTCTATCCAAGAGACATAAGCCCCAACTACTTCAAGGCACTGACATGTCACTTCTGAATTAGTATACTGATAATTTTGTAAAATTTGGTACCATGATTCCACCAAGTTTGGAATGCACTGTTCCCTCATGGTATCTTTTATTAGAGTATTCCTACGAGCCTCCTAAAAAACAAAACAAAACATCTTATGTGCAAAGTAGATTATCACACAAACTAATTTTTGACATCTGAATACTTGTGCATAGTAGTATCTCACAATTAAACTTCTAGACTTGTTAACACATTCCCTGCCACTATTTCCTACTTATCAACTCTAAAATCATATCCTGTGATTCTTTTAATTTCCTTTTTCCGTTGTATTCCTTAGAGCCAGATTTAAGTCCTTATTAAACACACTACGAATAAGCATTACTTAGAAATCTAAAGCATATGATAAAAGGTACTTCTCAATACAATGCAAACATATTTAAACTACTTAAGAGAATGGAAATTTGTTTTTAATTAAAAGAACTTTTTTTTAGTATAGTTGACACAAGATGGTACATGAGTTTCAAGTGTACAACATAGTGACTCAATATCTCCATAAATTCTGCAAGAATGGCAATAATTTATTTTATTTTTATTTTTAAATATTTTTATTTATTTGACAAAGTGAGAGAGAGTAGAAGTAGGCAGAGCAGCAGCCAGAGGGAGAGGGAGAAGCAGGCTTCCCGCTGAGCAGAGAGCCTGATGTGGGGCTTGATTCCAGGACCCAGAATCATGACCCAAGCCGAAGGCAAAGGCTTAACCCACTGAGCCACCCAGGCACCCCTATTTTTTTTTATTTTTAAAAAAGATTTTAAGTAATCGCTATAACCAACAAGGGCCTCAAACTCACAACTCCGAGATCAAGAGTCACATGTTCCACCAACTGAGCCAGCTAGGTGCCCCAAGAATGGTAGTTTTTTTTTGTTTGTTTGTTTTGTTTTTTTTGTTTTTGAGAGAAGGATAGAGAGCGATGGGTGAGGGCGAGAGGGAAAAGTGAGAGGGAGAGAAAGAAAATCTTTTTTTTTTAAATAAAAAGATTTTATTTGATCTGTTCCATTTCCGACCTGGGCCGGTTCACCCCTCTTTAGGCAACTTGGTGGTCCCCCACTCCTGGGATGTCACCGTATTGATGCTGAACTTAGTGTGGACACCTGATCGGCATAGTGCATTACAGCCCAGAACTCCTGGGCTCAAGCGATCCTCCTGTCTCAGCCTCTCGAGTAGCTGGGACTATAGGCGCATGCCACCGTGCACAGCAGGTTTTGAGAGAGAAAAGAGAGAGCACATGCAAGCAGGGGAGGAGCAAAGGAAGAAACAGATTTCCCCCTGAACAGGGAGCCTGAGACAGGGCTTGATCCCAGGACTCTGGGATCATGACCTGAGCTAACGGCAGATGCCTAACCGACTGAGCCACGTAAGCACCCTGAGACTCTTAAGCAGGCTCCACATCCAGAGTGAAGTCCAACCCAGGGCTCAATCTCATGACCCTGAGATTATGACTTGAGCCGAAATCAATAGTTTGACGCTGAACCACCCAGGCACCCCAGGAATGGCAATAATTTAAATGTATGATAATAACCTTTAAAGTTATATGACATAGGGGCGCCTGGGTGGCTCAGTGGGTTAAAGCCTCTGCCCTCAACTCAGGTCATGATCCCAGGGTCCTGGAATCGAGCCCCATATTGGGCTCTCTGCTCAGTGGGGAGCCTGCTTCCTCCTCTCTCTCTGCCTGCCTCTCTGCCCACTTGTCATTTCTGTCTGTCAAATAAATAAAATCTTAAAAAAAAAAGTTATATGACATATAATGACCTTAAATTATTATACACATTTGAATCAAGCAATTTCCTTTTTTTCTTTCTGATCTTTTCTTTTTTGAATCAAGCAACTTCTACTGTGTTAACATTAAAGAAAAAGTTATATGGGATAATAAATAGAGAAAGACTACGGTGATGGGCTTTATTACTAAGAATACAGAAGAAACTAGCAGATTCATTAGCAATGATTCCTCCTCATTCAGTAACTATATAGCAGTAGTAAATACAGACTACATTTCTCTAGAAATTCATAAAACAGAACCAATTTGTGTATTTTATTGGAGAAAGTGCTTGCATAGTTAAGAAAATCTAAAGTAATACTCTAATTTCAACACACACTTGGGGAAAAAAAAGCCCAGTTCAAGCTCCTTTGTAAAACAAACTTCAAAATGCTGGGTGAATTTAGAGGTGCCTGGCTGGCTCAGTTGGTAGAACATGTGACTCTTGATCTCAGGGTTATGAGTTCAAGTCTCACTTAAAAACAAACAAACCCCCCCAAACTAGAGAAAATTCAGAAATTTTTTAAGATTTCATCTATTTGACAGAGAGAGAAAACAAGCAGGCAGAGCCAAAGGCAGAGGGAGAGGGAGAAGGAGGCTCCCCGCTGAGCAGAATGCTTGATGCGGGGTTCAATCCCAGACCCCAGAATCATGACCTGAGCTGAAGGCAGACGACCGACTGAGCTGCTCAGGTACCCCTGAATTTAGAATTATTAAAAAAAGTTGAGGGAGGCTTAATTGGAAGAGCATGAGACTCCTGATCTCATCAGAGTTATGAGTTTGAGCCTCACGCTCGGTAGAAGATTACTAAAAAAATAAATATGCTTAAAAAAAAAAAAGGCAGAAAGAACAGAAAATTTGTTTCCAAAGAAAAACTTCCTGCTCTTTTTATTATGTGCCCATCATCTCCTACAAAATCCACATTAAGAACAATTAATGGGAAGTTACTTGCCTCTGATGTATGCACCACATCACGATCCACCAACTCTGAATCAATAGCCATGAGGATTCGGAGGTACAGATCTACTCCCCTTGGATTTAGGTCCACTACTGAGAGAATGTCAAAAAAAAATTTGGGCCATCTAGTGAGATATTCTGTAACAAAAAGTAAGGCGAAGACTTGGGCCGCTTTATTTCGTATAAAGGTCTTCTCTGGTTGGGGATTCAGCATCTGACAAAGAGAAATAGTCCATGAAATTAAATGTAAGCTGTAAAGTCTCAAAACAAAGTTTTCCTATTTATCATCAACAGGCAAAAACTCACCAAGCCTCAATACGGTCTAGATTAGCTATGCAACAAATATGCTGGAAAATTACCAAAGTAATTTAAGTGATTACCGAGATGGAAAATAAACAAAGGTGCTATGTTTACTTATTATTCTCATACTTTTATTTATTTTTTTTGAAGATTTTATTATTTATTTGTCAGAGAGAGAGGGAGAGAAAGTGAGCACAGGCAGACAGAAAGGCAGGCAGAGGCAGAGGGAGAAGCAGGCTCCCCGCCGAGCAAGGAGCCCGATGTGGGACTCGATCCCAGGATGCTAGGATCATGACCTGAGCCGAAGGCAGCTGCTTAACCAACTGAGCCACCCAGGCGTCCCTATTCTCATACTTTTAAAGAAAAGTTTCATGTGCAGAATTTTACTAGTTTTTGGTTCTACTAGTTAAATTGTTTTTCTTCTGTTTGCTCTTTAAGAAAAATAGAAATTCTAGCTACCTAACTGCTTCATATGTTAAGATTAAAATTAACAAAAAAGAACGTAATGTGAATAAAGAACTCTAATGGCTCTCTTGTAAAGGACTCTTTGTGAAGAAGCTGTCTAGGAGGGCTCACCTTTAGGAGTGAGCAAAAAATCTGTTTTTGTCAAGTAGTTAAAAACAAAACAAAATAAAACCAAAAACAACAACAAAAACCTACCTTAAAACCAAGGTTTCAACAACGGGTCATGTAAGGAGTGAGCAAAAAATCTGTTTTTGTCAAGTAGTTAAAAACAAAACAAAATAAAACCAAAAACAACAACAAAAACCTACCTTAAAACCAAGGTTTCAACAACGATGAGACTCCTGATCTCATCAGAGTTATGAGTTTGAGCCTCACGCTCGGTAGAAGATTACTAAAAAAATAAATATGCTTAAAAAAAAAAAAAGGCAGAAAGAACAGAAAATTTGTTTCCAAAGAAAAACTTCCTGCTCTTTTTATTATGTGCCCATCATCTCCTACAAAATCCACATTAAGAACAATTAATGGGAAGTTACTTGCCTCTGATGTATGCACCACATCACGATCCACCAACTCTGAATCAATAGCCATGAGGATTCGGAGGTACAGATCTACTCCCCTTGGATTTAGGTCCACTACTGAGAGAATGTCAAAAAAAAATTTGGGCCATCTAGTGAGATATTCTGTAACAAAAAGTAAGGCGAAGACTTGGGCCGCTTTATTTCGTATAAAGGTCTTCTCTGGTTGGGGATTCAGCATCTGACAAAGAGAAATAGTCCATGAAATTAAATGTAAGCTGTAAAGTCTCAAAACAAAGTTTTCCTATTTATCATCAACAGGCAAAAACTCACCAAGCCTCAATACGGTCTAGATTAGCTATGCAACAAATATGCTGGAAAATTACCAAAGTAATTTAAGTGATTACCGAGATGGAAAATAAACAAAGGTGCTATGTTTACTTATTATTCTCATACTTTTATTTATTTTTTTTGAAGATTTTATTATTTATTTGTCAGAGAGAGAGGGAGAGAAAGTGAGCACAGGCAGACAGAAAGGCAGGCAGAGGCAGAGGGAGAAGCAGGCTCCCCGCCGAGCAAGGAGCCCGATGTGGGACTCGATCCCAGGATGCTAGGATCATGACCTGAGCCGAAGGCAGCTGCTTAACCAACTGAGCCACCCAGGCGTCCCTATTCTCATACTTTTAAAGAAAAGTTTCATGTGCAGAATTTTACTAGTTTTTGGTTCTACTAGTTAAATTGTTTTTCTTCTGTTTGCTCTTTAAGAAAAATAGAAATTCTAGCTACCTAACTGCTTCATATGTTAAGATTAAAATTAACAAAAAAGAACGTAATGTGAATAAAGAACTCTAATGGCTCTCTTGTAAAGGACTCTTTGTGAAGAAGCTGTCTAGGAGGGCTCACCTTTAGGAGTGAGCAAAAAATCTGTTTTTGTCAAGTAGTTAAAAACAAAACAAAATAAAACCAAAAACAACAACAAAAACCTACCTTAAAACCAAGGTTTCAACAACGGGTCATGTAAGGAGTGAGCAAAAAATCTGTTTTTGTCAAGTAGTTAAAAACAAAACAAAATAAAACCAAAAACAACAACAAAAACCTACCTTAAAACCAAGGTTTCAACAACGCCGTCATGTAAAGAATCAAAGTTTCAGTGATTGATATAATTTTAAATTCCTGCTAAGTTTCATATACCCAAGATCTTTGAAATCAGCACTTTCTAAAAAAGCTATGGGGTCAAAGGGAGGATAAATGATGAACATTTCTGAGGCAAAGTTCTAAACTCTCACAACACTAAAAATTTAAGTATCTGGTAACTTAATGTACTGAATGAAATTACTATTTTACCTGAGCTTGAAGCCAAGATATGAGCGTCTCCCTAATTAGTTGTTGTTGAACAGTAGTTAGTTCTGAATATCTGTTCAAAATAGAGAAGACAAATAATGATGGCTATATTTGATGTCTGTGGTTTAAAAAGTAACAGCCTCATATATCTGAAAAGGAAAATTTGCCTAACACTCAATTACTTAAAATTTCCTAAAAGAAACTGATAATGCTTCTCATCATGGCTTAAAAGAAAAGATAGGGGTGGGCCCAACAGGTAGCATCATTGATCTTAGTTTGATTTGTGGTCCAGTTCATGTTAAAATAAAATGACAGCTGTGGAATTTCTCAAATAGAAATACATCTATATTTTGAGGTTTGTGGCTTACATAATAAATCAACAGGCAAATGAAGGATCCTCTAAACAGTGATTCACTGTTTTTGCTTATTTAAAGCAGGGTTCTAAATACAAGTGGCCACACTGCCACTAACCTCTAACAGAACTGGCTTACAGAAACAGGTCTGGCGTTGCTAGATCTTCTGATTTTTCCAGAGAAGCTCAAAATGAATTTTTTCTGTGAAATGTCTGGATTTTTTATATGTAATCAATTAACTCAGTGTTTTTAAAACACTTAGATAAATCAAAAACACATCTATAAACTGGATGTGTCTCATACACCCTCATTTACAGCCTGTATTATGATTTTCCCAAAGAGAGAAAAACTAATTTAGAAAGTGACCTCTCCCCATATATTTCAGAGTCAAAACAGTGAGAAAAGCCTTACTTGTATTTAACTTGATGTTCTAGTACTTGAAAGCAGAAAAACTTTATGTGATCATCACTGAAAAAGAAAAAAGGAAAATCAGATAAACAGAATATAATTTAAAGAAAAAACAAAAGTAAAGTACTAGTGAAACATAGTTGAAAAGTTTCTCAAACAAGACCTCTGGCTTACTTTCTACTTAGCAATCTCATTTATTACACTGCTTAGAACTTAATTATTCCATGCTCAATAGTTCCACTAAATCTCACAAGCAAAACAATGAAAAAAAATTAAGATGCACCTTAAGTATACTACAAACAGAAGGAATTTCCCTAAATTCTAGATGTTAGGATTACTGGAACCGTTCCTACACTTTACAATAGAAAGGCTAGGTGTGGGGCGCCTGGGTGGCTCAGTGGGTTAAGCTGCCATTGGTTCAGGTCATGATCTCAGGGTCCTGCGATCGAGCCCCTCGTTGGGCTCTCTGCTCAGCAGGAAGCCTGCTTCCCTTCCTCTCTCTCTGCCTGCCTCTCTGCCTACTTGTGATCTCTGTCATATAAATAAATAAAATCTTAAAAAAAAAAAAAAAAAAAAAAAGAAAGGCTAGGTGTAAAATGACAAACAGTCACACAGCCAGGGATTGAGTCAAATCAGAGATGGTAACTCGTCATCCCTAAAGTTCAATCCTACACAGTTCCACTGCAGCCAAATCCAGAACAAGCAGGGTCACACAGACTGGTAGTTCAGCCTCAAAATTTATATAGAAAACCAAGTTACAAATATACTGCCCTTATAGAAAGGGCAGAAATCTACCAATTTTCTACTCTCAAGGTCTCTACAGGGTTGATACAGAGTTAGTCACAGTGAGCCAGCTACAATCTCTGACAAAAATCTCTTTAGTGAACAACAATCTGTTCATCCAAGACAGCTGGTTTGGGCCGGGCTTAGTCACGGAAGACAATTTTCATAAATAAAGCTAACTGGTCAATATAAGAATAGACAATAACTTAGACTACATGAATGAATTAAATAAAGTAATTTCACACACAAGAAGATGAAACTTAATCTTTAGAAGTTTTAAGTTAGGTTTAATCAGCACCTCTTGTAAGTAAGAACTTAGGGTTTCTATTTTTTTTTTTTTTTAAAGATTTTATTTTATTTGACAGACCGAGATCACAAGTAGGCACAGAGGCAGGCAGAGAGAGAGGGGGAAGCAAGCTCCCTGTTGAGCAGAGAGCCCGATGCAGAGCTTAATCCCAGGACTCTGGGATCATGACCTGAGCTGAAGGCAGAGGCTTTAATCCACTGAGGCACCCAGGCACCCCTAGGGTTTCTATTCTTTTTTTTTTTTTTTTTTTAAGATTTTATTTATTTATTTGTCAGAGTGAGCACAGGCAGACAGAGTGGCAGGCAGAGGCAGATGGAGAAGCAGGCTCCTGCTGAGCAAGGAGCCCGATGTGGGACTCGATCCCAGGACGCTGGGATCATGACCTGAGCCGAAGGCAGCAGCTCAACCAGCTGAGCCACCCAGGGGTCCCTAGGGTTTCTATTCTTAACACGGATGATGCTGAAGCCTTAAATCAAGTATACAAGACTCTTGTTTTCCACTCAAAAATAAACTATAGGAATCCTTTAATTAAAAGCGAGATCTTTAAAAAAAAAAAAAAAAAAAAGCCAGATCTTCTATACTCCCAGGCCTATAGTATATGTTCTCAAAATTAACTCTCACTAGAGCACTTGCTTGACTGTAAAAGGTGGCAAGTATGATAGCCACAGCATGCTGAGGATGTCAGCTAGAAGCATCACTAATATCCATGGGCATCTATTCCCACCAGTGAGTTGCTTGCTTATAATTAGTCAGCTGTGTTTCCCTAACCCTTACTATGTCAGTCGTAGGTCTTTTTTTAATTAAGTAACTGAATTAACTATTATATAAACTAATGAAGTGAGTGTGAAAGTGCTGATTTTTGGAAAAATTAAGTTGAAGGCTTTGGAAAGACTTCATAGAAAGTCATATTGCAAAAAGGAAAAAACCTTAGAACACTAATTCAAAGGGATACACGCACCCCTATGTTTATACCAGCATTATTTACAATAGCCAGTATATAAAAGTAGCCCAAGTGCCCATTAATTGATGAATGGATAAAGATGTGGTGTACACACACACACACACACACACACACCCCACAGGAATATTATTCAGCCATAAAAAGAGTGAAATCTTGACACTTGCAATGACATGGATGGAGCTAGAGTATATAACGCTAAGTGAAATCAGTCAGTCAGAGAAAGACACCCTATGACTTCACTCATATGTGGAATTTAAGAAACAAAAGAATGAACAAAGGGAAAAAAATGAGGGAGAGAGAGAGTGACAAATCAAGAAACAGACTTATATTAACTACAGAGTTTAAACTGATGGTTACCAGAGGGGAAGGAGGGTACGGGTACGAGTTAAGTACATGATGGGGATTAAGGAGGGCAGTTGCTGTGATGAGCACAGGGCGTTGTATGGAAGTGGTGAATCACTACACTGTACACCTGGAACTAACACAACACTGCATGCAAACTAACTAAAACCAACATAAAATTTAAAATAAAAAAAATTTTAAAAAAGGGAAAAACCTTGTGTGTATTTGATGTGGGCTAGATAACCAGAAGACTCAGGAGTGGTAGAAGAAAATAACCAAAAGTCTAGGAATCTGTACTAATTGTTCCTCAATCCACTAGAGACCGAAAGTAGAAATTATAGAGGATGGATCACTGAGTGTGATCTCTGCAAGATGAAGCGAATGCTAATGGAATATACATAAAGGAAAGACCTTGGCCCAATATAAAAATGTTGCCAACTGAGTTGTTTCTATACTTTAAAATAAAAATGCAAGATATATACAATTCATGATTACCTCCTTTGCCAACTTTTTAGAAAACCAACGATCACTTCCCATCTTAAGAAGTTTTTACTGTACTGTATTCCAGCTGGGATCTGCTGTCAGGTACACAGCATAAGGCAAAGTCTAGTTTTGCTAAAAGTTAATCCTGGAATGGCCAAATTACTGGTTTACTATTTTTCTCATTCCTATACTAATTGGTTTTCCAAAACACAAGCCATAAAAATGTTTTTATGAAAATATTTTCTAAATACAGGTCTCACAGAAATTTAAATTCCTCTAAGTTATGTAAATTTTCTTATAATTACCTGTATGTCCTCTGGGCTAGAGCTTCTGCACACACTTGCCAGGCATCTGGGGAAATCTTTAATTGCTCAAAATAGGCCAGGGCCTGTAAGATTGCAAAGGTATAAATGCATTTGGAATAGTTGATCTCAGTACCCTACTGATATTAAAATATTCTAGGAGTAATAATAAATAATAAATCAGTCAACCTGAAGAAAAATAGCTAAAACACTGAATTCTGGTTTCTGAATAAGTGCAACTACTGATCATTCCTAGAAAAAAAGTTTAAGTTAAAAAAAAAAAAATCCCATCAGTTAGATACTCAAATCTGTTTCCTTATAGCAAAGGAGACAACATAAAAATGCCCTGAAAATCCCATCAGTTAGATACTCAAATCTGTTTCCTTATAGCAAAGGAGACAACATAAAAATGCCCTGCTGACCTCAATGGGTAATTATGAATATTAAGAGAAAAAATACACAAGTGCTATGCTCAGGTAATGATCCTGGAGTCCTGGGTTAGAGTCCCTCATCGGGCTCCCTGCTCAGTAGGGAGTCTGCTTCTCCCTCTGACCCTCCCCCATCTCGTTCTCTCTCTCTCTCTCAAATAAATAAAATCTTAAAAGAAAAAAAAATTCTTAAAAAAAAGAAAACCCAGGGGTGCCTGTATGCCTCAGTCAGTTAAGCATTCAACTCTAGATTTCAGTTCAAGTCTTGCTCTCAGGGTTCTGAGGTTAAGTCCTGTGTTAGGCACTACACTGGGTGTGGAGCCTAGCTTAAAAAATTAATTAATTAAAAATAAAATAAAATAAAAATCTTGGAAAAAAAAAAAAGCACACACACAAAAAACAAAATAAAAAAACCCAAACCAAAATTAAGAGTCCAACTGTATCATGTGGGCTAGATAACCAAAATTAGAGTCCAACTGTATGATACGAATTTTGGAAAAGTATGAATAATTGAAATGTTTAGGAAATGTATCTCATTTCATGAATTCAGGGCTTTGTTATGAGTAGATATACTCTAGGGGCACCTGGTTGGTTAAGCATCTGCCTTCTGCTCAGGTCATGATCCTGGGGTCTTGGGATTGGACCCCACATTATGCTCCCTGCTCCATGGCGGGGGGTGGGGGCAGCTTGCTTCTCTTCTTCTCGTTCCCCCAATTGCACTATCAAATAACCAAATAAAATCTTAAAAAAAAAAAGAGTAAGTATACTCTAGAATGGATGCAGCACCAAGTCCATGGGCTCTTTACCAGATTGTTGGGAAAATGAGAATTACTTCTGCTACTCTTTTCCATTTGAATGTTGCAACTGGAATCAATGACAGGTGCAGATGTCACATATGACAATGGACAAACAGTAATCCTAACAAGCTGTGAAAAGTATCTCAGTCAAGAAAATCACACAAAAACAGTGCTAGATAATTTTAAAGCAACTGATGTACTGATCAGATTTCGAAATCATGTAGAAAGAACATTAAGCATTATAGAGGAACCTCTTTTTTTTTTTAAAGAGAGGGGGAGAGAGTGGGTAGGAAGGGGCAGAGGGCAGAGGAAGGAATCCCAAGCAGGCTCCACTCCCAGCACAGAGCCCTTTGTGGGGCTCGATCTCACAACCTTGAGATCATGACCTGAGCCGAAATTGAGGGTTAGACAATTAACTGACTGAGCCACTGAGGCGCCCCTAGAGGAGCCTAATTTTAATTAGTAAATATTCTTCAAAACTGTGGTTTGTGCCCCACTAGTGAGGACATCAATTTTATAGGTCTTGATCCACAATAAAAAAATGAAAAACAATATCAGAGTGCATTGCACATAATAAAATAACTTATTTTGATTCACAGACCTGTACCCCTGGGGCTAATAATACATTATATGTTTATAAAAAAATTAAAAAAATTATTAAAAAAATTAAATGCATTCCAAGGATGGAAAAAAAAAGTAACTTATTTTGTGTAAATTGTTTTAGTTGTGTGTGCGTATATATACTATATATAGTAAAAATATATAGTTATGTAAGTCTATACAAACACAGAGTCAAGATGTAAAAATTTTTTTCCTTTAGGTTAGAGATTTTATTTTTTTAAAGATTTTATTTATTTATTCGACAGAGACAGAGGGAACACAAGCAGGGGGAGTGGGAGAGGGAGAAACAGGCTTCCAGCCAAGCAGGGAGCCCAATGCAGGGCTTGATCCTAGGACCCTGGGATCAAGACCTGAGCCGAAGGCAGATGCTTAATGACTGAGCCACCCAGGCAGCCCAGGTTAGAGATTTTAAAAGAAATAAAAAAGGCTCTGTTAGAGTTGTATGAGTGGGGTAATCGGTTTTCATATGTGGTCTCACTGGCTGCTCTCACTGATAAGATCCATGTAAATGAAGGTAAGTAGATGAACATCACCAGTTATTATCTTAAGTATAAATAATGTCTGTCTTTGGAAATTAAGAATAGAAAAACCCAGGTGCTGCAAAGAACCTAATTCAGTTGTCAACTAACATTCCTGAAACCTAGGTTTTCCTTTAGGAACATTTACTGTCCCATTTAAGGACAAGGTGAAGCCAGTCATGTATGCTGCATTACCACCTAATATTTCACTTACCAAAAAAAGAAGGGGGGGGGTTCAGCTGCTAGAATTATCACTGACATACCATTTTCTTTAAATAATGGCAAGTTTTAAGCCAAAGACAGCGATTCCATTAAGAAAGTGAAAATAAGGGCGCCTGGGTGGCTCAGTGGGTTGGGCCTCTGCCTTCGGCTCAGGTCATGATCTCAGGGTCCTGGGATCGAGGCCCGCATGGGGCTCTCTGCTCAGCAGGGAGCCTGCTTCCTCCTCTCTCTCTGCCTGCCTCTCTGCCTACTTGTGATCTCTGTCAAATAAATAAATAAATAAAATCTTAAAAAAAAAAAAAGTGAAAATAATATGAAAGTTTTCAATTTTTAATTAAAGTCTTTGCATTCTGAGGGCATGCATTACTAGCATTTTTGGTTTTTTTTAGATGATTTATTTATTTGAGGAAGAGCAAGCAAGTGTAGGGGGAGGAGCAGAGGGAAAGAAGAAAGATAATCTCAAGCAGACTCTCAGCTGAGAGCAGAGCCCCAGTGTGGGGCTCAATTCCCTCAACCCTGAGATCATGACCTGACCGAGACCAAGAGTCAGATGCTCAACCAACAATGCTACCCAGATGCCGCATTTACTGGCATTTTTAAGTGAAATTCTGTGGCAATTATGAACAAGTCAAAGCTTTTATCATCTTTTCTTCATTTCATACCTTTTCTCTAATGCTCTCCTGCCTCTAAGTGGCAAGAGTCACTTTAGCTACTGTCCCTGAAAAAAACAGAACTACAGCCAGACAATGGAGAATTGGAGTTGGCAGACAGTTATGATCAAAATGAATTATGTTCCACTACTCTTGATTTCCAACATCAGAACTATCAGAATTCACTTTCCTTAAGATTCCTTCTTTTTTTGTCCTAATTAAATCTGTTACTCAGGTTGGCTTAATGGATATCAAATTAAGCCTGAATTTGGAAGCTTAACATCAACCTGCAGCTGAAAAAAAAAAGAAAAAAACAAAACAAAACAAAACAAAAAACCCTGTAGCTGACAGAACTCATTTTTATTGATAAAAAGCATAATTGTGTATTAAGACCACTAACAATGCACTGGATTTACTTTTCTGAAAAAGAAAATTATTGTGTACTTAAGAAATCTGTTGGATAGTGGTATTTAATTAAAAAAAAAAAATGATTTCCGGGGTGCCTGGGTGCCTCAGTGGGTTAAAGCCTCTGCCTTCGGCTGAGGTCATGATCCCAGCATCCTGGGATCGAGCCCCATTCTGGGCTTCCTGCTTGGTGGGAAGCCAGCTTCTCCCTCTCCCACTCCCCCTGCTTGTATTTCCTCTCTCGCTGGGTGTCTGTTAAATAAATAAATAAAATCTTATAAAACAAAACAAAACAAACAAAAAAAACACAAATGATTTCCAAAAAGGATCATAAAAAATAACAAAAAAGGCTATTTAATAACTAAACAAAATAGTAAAAGGCTTTTAGTTATAGTCATACAATACCAAGGTAAAGATCTATGCTACTTCAACTATGTGACTAAGGCTTTGAAGGTAAGCAGCTTAAACTCTTAAATAAAGAAATTTATCTACATACAGAAAACATGGCTTTTATTTATTTAAGATTTTATTTATTTGAGAGAGGAACAGAGATAGTGAGAGAATGAGAGAGAGAGAGAGAGAGAGAGAGCGAGTGAGCGAGCAGGAGTAGGGAGGAGAAGGTGAAAAAGACTCCCCGCTGAGCAGGGAGCCTGATATGGAGCTTGATTCCAACACCCTGGGATCATGACCTGGGCTGAAGGCAGAGCCTTAACCAACTGAGCCACCCAATCCAATAACATGGATTTTATTTTTAAAAATATTTTATTTAGGGGCACCTGGGTGGCTCAGTGGGTTAAAGCCTCTGCCTTTGGCTCAGGTCATGATCCCAGGGTCCTGGGATCGAGCCCCGCATTGGGCTCTCTGCTCAGCAGGAAGCCTGCTTCCCTCTCTCTCTCTGCCTGCCTCTCTGCCTACTTGTGATCTCTGTCAAATTAAAAAAAAAAAAAAAATTTTTATTTATTTATTTGAGAGAGAGAATGAGAGAGAGAGCATGGAGGGGAGAGGTCAGAGGGAGAAGCAGACTCCCCACTGAGCATGGAGCCTGACATGAGACTCGATCCCAGGATTCTAGGATCATGACCTGAGCCGAAGGCAGTTGCTTAATCAACTGAGCCACCCAGGCACTCCGCAAAAAAATGGATTTTAAATGTCTTTTGATGTCTTAACTAGTTTGTTAGGTATCTTGTTACTAGCCAGATTACTTAAATCTCAATCCCTGTTATTTCCCTTTGTGTGGATGGCTGGTTACTTATTTAACAGCAGAGGCACAGAACCATGTTAGATATTACTTGAGGTTTTTTTTGTTTTGTTTTGTTTTACTTAAAAAAAGTTCTCCGGGGATGCCTGGGTGAGTCAGAGGGTTAAGCATCTGCCTTCGGCTCAGTTCATGATCCCAGGGTCATCAGGCTCTTCGCTCAGTGCAGGGCCTGCTTCTCCCTCTGCCCCACTCCACACTTGCAGTCTCTCTCTCTCTGACACACTTGCAGTCTCTCTCTGACAAACAAGTAAATAAAATCCTTAAAAAATAAAAATAAAATTAAGAAAGTTCTTCCAAAAAATTCTCCTTGGGCACCTGGATGGCCCAGTCAGTTAAGCATCTACCTTTGGCTCAGGTCATGATCCTAGGGTCCTGGGACTGAGTCCTGCATCAGGCTCCCTACTCAGTGGCGAGTCTGCTTCTCCCTCCACACCTACCTCCTGCTCACACCTGCTCATTCACATTTTCTCTCTCTCTCTCAAAAATAAATAAAATCTTAAAAAAAAATTCTCCTTAAAAGCACTACAAAAACTGCAATAATATTTAGTGAGACTGTTACCCTCATTAGGTCATTTATAAAAAATATCCTTCACTATGAGAAGCAGAAAGAAAAAATGCTTCTCCTTCCTCTTACCCTGTACTTCAAAACACCCATGTCTTTAAAAAAAACTTAATTATAGGCTTATTCTTTAAGTTCTTCTTTTATCATTCAGCTATAGCCCTGATTACAGGTATAGCCTACATCATGTTTAATTGTTTATTTTTGCTCAAATATCCCAGCACCTCATAATGGATTCCTTGTCATCTAATCATTTTATGTAACCTAAGACATGTCATATATAACCACTAATTTACATGTCTGCCTGGAATAAATAACAAGGACGCTAAATATCACCAACACGAAGGTTAAACAACTTGTCCAGACCAAGCCAGGAAATATAAAGATAAAATATGCACGTCTGCTATTATGGAGAGTTCCTTGAGCAATCCTTTGCACTACAACTTTTAAATAATTAGAAATAATGATTGATGTGACATAAAGAGCTGCCCTGAATCACATCAGATTTTAATACCTTTGTTAAGCCAACTAAAAAGAACATCAATCACAATGCTACCGTTTCTGTATTCAGAATATATTCAAGTACCTCAAATTTGTCTCTGTTCATTTCTACTCAAATGAAACCTTTATCATCAAATGTATTTTGTTTTTAAATCCAAGCCCTCTAATGCAAATTTGGGGTAACAACCTTTAAAAACTGATTCAGCTGACTTAACTTACCCTTTGTCTGAAGTCTGAATCAGCATTTGGATTTAGCCCTAAAAGAGCCTGTTCATCCATCCCTGCTGCTATTCTTGGAGTTTTCTGATTACAACAGGCGTGCCCTCTGATCCCACAGAAGAATCCACAAACATCTGCACACACACAAAAAAAGAAAGAAAACAATACTTGATAAACAAAACTGATGCTTATCCAGAATATCGTAACAAGTGGATGACATTACGCAAAGAAGTGTAAATGTTGAAAGAATTTCTTTTGAAACTATCCGAAATTACAACTAAAGGAACATAAGTCTCAGAAGAATGCACCTACTAAATACTCCACAATGTGTAATTTCTAAAAATCTAACATATGGAATTAATGTTCTCAAATTTTCTTATTCTTCAGGATCAAGTATACAAAGTAATTATTTTCTACTTTAAATAGAAGCATCTGATTTATGTGGTATAATCATCCCCAGTACTTAAAAGTGCAACTCTGCAACCATATTAAAATACGACACATCTAGATTCTTATACTATTTTGCCTACTTCCATTTACCAATATCACAAACCTTTAGGAAAAAAAAATAACTTACAGTGGTTGACTAAATAGTTAACCTTGGAGTTCAATATTCTTACTTGAGAGTCTATCAAGTACTTCAAGATAAGTCAAATGAAAGAGGAAGGAGCAGAAGAGTGAAAAACCAGTCATTTAACTTTTAAACAATAACTTTTAAACAAACTGGATAATTTTAGAAATTTATTTCAAAAACCATTTTTTTAGTCTTGGGAAAGCAATGCGCTTTTTCATAGTGTAGGGTCTATCATTCTCAAATAAGAACAAGATTAAGCCCCAAAAGGCAACTTAGTTTTTGATAGAACGTATAACTGAGGGAACAAGGAACAAATTCTAAATGATGTGAAAATCATATTTATTCTCTCAATGCCTACAAGGTAGGCATTATGGGAGTATGCCTACTCCTCCCATCAAAAGGCTGTAGGGCTTTGTGAGTGTGTGTGTGTGTGTGTGTGTGTGTGTGTGTGTGTGTGTGTGTTTTAATGATCATAAACCAAAGAGAAGATCAGAGCCTAAAGAAGCCAACAGACTGAAGGCAGGGGGTGAGGGCGCACAGCATTTTGTTAACAGTGAGGCCAGTATCTGATCCAGGTTAGAGGACTCCAACTACAATATGCTTTTCTGTCTTCCCCTGGGCGTGCCTGAAACAAGTCAGGGTATGCGCCGAGAGCCCTTTGAGGGAAAAGCTCAGCTTTCTCTTGTGATTACTATCATATGTTCAGACTACAGCAAGGCAGGATCCACTGCCCTCAGGGTTAACATGCAAACTCTTTTGAATGACTCCTCACTGTTCTATACCCCAACCCTGCAAGGCCAGTGGTATTCTGCCTTTCATCTTTGCACTCACTGCTTTTCTTGTTACTTGGTTAACCCCTGCCTGTCCTTCAAAATTCAGCTTAGAAGTCCTCTTTCAAGAACACTTCTTTGACCCCTATTGTCCAATTCTTCCAAAATGGATTAAATGCCCCTCTTAGGTGCTGCTATGTTGTCACCACTGCCTACTTACCAGTTTTCTCTCTATAATCTTAAAGGGAAAAGGCTGTCTTAAATATTCCTCATTATATCTCCAGGACATAGTACAACATCGGCTTTGGGTTTGGAAATACCTGGGTTTGTACTCCAATCTAGTCATTTTCAAACTGGGGCCACATGGACAACTAGGAAATGTGAAAGAGAGAGCCCTAGAGAGGGGTCATCATAGAGATGAAGTGGGAAAGACCATCTATCTCAAAAGTTGTAAAGACCTAGGTGAGATAGGTATGTAAAGGATGTCTGGCATATAGTGGGCCCTCAACAGATTATTTATAATTCAGAGCTAGTCACATGGGGAATGGGAACTACCTGGAGCAGTCCAGATTTATCATTTCATACTAATAAACGGGCATTTGAATAGATGGGAAAATGCAAAAAAAGGCAGTGGTTTTCCTCCCCATCCTTGCCACAAATGACTAGAAAATTTGATGATTCCCTGGAAAAAATGCATACACAAAAAAAAGAAAATTTGAATTTCTGTAAATCCCAGGTTAAAAAGTCCTATGGAGGGGCACAAGGGTGGCTCAGTTGGTTAAGCATCTGCCTTTGGCTCAGGTCATGATCCCAGGGTGCTGGGATCAAGCTAAGTAGGGCTCCCTGCTCAGCAAGGAGTCTGCTTCTCCCTCTCCCTCTGCTTTCTGCTCCCCCTGCCTGTGCAGCTCTCTGTCAAATAAATAAATAAAATCTTAAAAAAAAAAAAAAAAGTCCCATGGGGCTCCTGGGTGGCCTCTCGTTTAACAGGCTGCCTTAGGCTCTCTCTCTTCCTACTCCCTTCTCAGCAGGGAGCCTGCTTCTCCCTCTCCTGCTCCCCTCCCCCCCCACTTGTGCTCTCTCAAATAAATAAATCTTAAAAAAAAAAGTCTTATAAAAGATTCCTTTAATTTAGGGACAATTCCTTAAGCTTGGTAGAGTCACTTTAATTCTATCAAGAGAAACAGCACTGAAGAGAAAAAGGTCTTAAAAAACCTGGCCAATAAATAACCTAAGGAAACATAAACTCGTTAACAGTTGTCAGTACAGAAAGAAACCCCCACAGAGAAGGAATTTGCATAATAATCAATATGCAGTGCAACATAACCATAAAACGGTGAATTACCCACATGTTGTGCAAACAACTGAAAAGTTACAACCTGTGCAGAAAAGGTAACAGTTCCCTCACTTAAAGGTTGTGCATGAACACATAATGTTCTAACGTGGCACAGACGTGCAGGCTTAAACATTTGTTACAATGCGATAAACACTTCAATTATGCATCTAGTAAATGTTTTGGGAGAAGGTAAGCAACATACTTAAAATATTAAGCCCTAACTTTTCTTTGATAGCCATTAAATAAAAAAATCAAACAATCTGGGGAAACTCCTCCACCCCTACTAAAGATTGTTCAAAGACAAGGACTGAATCTTTCCAGTCTTTTAACACCACGCTGACAAGTCGCTTTAATAAAACGTAACTTCCCCCAGTAACAACTAATTAGCACTTTCAAAAAGTACTCTGTTTCTTCTGGTTACAAGGAAACATCACGCTTGCCTACCCTACAGAACTGTGAGGAAGGGAAGAGAAGAAATGGCGTGTCTGTGCTGGCAAATTACTACACAGAAATAACACTTTTCTCCTTTTTGTCCTGGGGCGGGGGGGGGGGGGGGGGGGGGGGGGCGGCGGCGGCTACGCAAAGCAAGTTTGAAGTCTCTGCAGTTGAAACTGGAGGAACACGCTGCTATTACAAATGACGCTGGCCACTTTCACTACATTAGCGGCCAGAGACGATGCCGACCCTCCTCGGCCGCCCTTGCCCCTTCCTCACCCCCTCTCCGTCCCTCCCCTAAAGGAAGCCTCGTGGCAATTCGGGTGATGAAACACCCGGCAACGGGCGGCCACGCACTCGGGACGCGCTCCGCTGCGACGGCCGCAGCTCGTACCCACCCCCACCCAGTCCGCCCAGCCTCGGGGCGCGCCATGGAGGGCCCCCGGCCCGCACCCCTCTCCAGCGGGGGGCTCCCCGGGCCAGTCTGCCCGGCCAACTTCCCCGCAGCCTCGCGCGGACCAAGCCGGGTCCGAGTCCCCCCGCCCCCGAGCTCCCAGTCACCTTCCCTATCACTCCATCCCGCCTCCCCGCCTGCACTCCCGAGGGCTGGTCAGTGGAGCGGAGCGGCGCCGCGCGCAGGGAGCGGGGAGAGCGGCCCTCGTCCTTGTCGCCGTCGTCCTCCGCCACGGCCGCAGCGCTAACGCCGGAGACCCAGCTGGCTGGGGCCGCGCGCCGCTCCGCGTTCCCTGGCGCCTTCTCTTGAGGGGCGCCCGGCCGGCAAGCAAGCAAGCAGGCGGGCGGGGTCGGCGCCCCAGGAAGGGAAAGAGCGCTAGGGGCCGGCTAACGCCGCCGCCGCCGCCTCCGTCGCCGCTGAGTCAGCGCGAAGCGCGCTCCCCGCGTCGGCGCCGCGCGGGCCAGCGCTAGCAGCCTCATGGAGAGTGCGGACGACAGCCCGCGGGCCCCGACTGGGAGCCTACAACTCCCGGCATGCAATGGGCAGGCGGCGCTTCCGGGCGCTCGCCGAGGCCTGTGGTGCATGCCGGGATGGGGCGTCCAGCACGAGTCCCTCCCACCCTGCTGAATCTCGCGTGGGTCCTCGCCGCAGGTCAGGTGTGCTTAGAATGTTACATAAGGGCTTCATTAGCTAGTTGGTAGGTTAGAGTACCGAGCTCTTGAGATCCAGATGACGTAGTCCAAACCACGTGTGATTTAGGCGTTTAATTGCTTTTCTATGATACCACGTGTTTAGGGGCCGGGAGTGTGAGGATCCTCTCAGGAGCGCAGAAAATTCCTAAGCTTCTCTTTAAACATACTAATATGTTACCGTTCACGAAAAGGAGAGCATTCTTAGGGAGTTCTACTCGTAAGTTAGTTAACTTTTCTGGTACTGCTGCTTCGTTTATTCAGAGGCAGTATTGGCTCAAGGTGTCCGCATTTGAATCCCCACCCTAACCCAATCCCTTTCCCCTCCCACACTTGATCTCAGTTTCAGGCACTTTATATAATCTTATCTGTACCTCCGTTTACTCATTTGTAAAATGGGGACAACAGTAGTACTGACCTTAAAGGGTTCTTGTGACGACTGGGAATAATATATGTTTGCACACAATAAGTGCTCAATATTTAGGTTTCATTGTTGATTATTTACTACTGGATACAGACTAGGTTGCAGTCCCTCAGACTACAGTGAGAAAGAAACAAAACTTGGGAAGGGAAATTCGGAAAAGAAGTAGAATACAATTAATGTAACAATTAAGCAGCTACATTTGTTTAGTGACCCACCGTGTGCAAGACACTACAACATGTATTTCATATATACAATATTTTCCATCACTTTTGCATCACGTTTGTAGTTTTAAAATGTCAGGCAAGTATTCCTGTCCTATTTCAGTGTATCTCCAGAGTCTAGCATATAGGACAGTGCCAGCCTGTAGTTAAAGCTCAGTAAGTAGGGGAACCTGGGTGGCTCAGTGGTTTAAGCCTCTGCCTTCGGCTCAGGTCATGATCTCAGGGTTCTAGGATCGAGCCCCGCATCGGGCTTTCTGCTCAGCAGGGAGCCTGCTTCCCTCTCTCTCTCTGCCTGCCTTTCTGCCTACTTGTGATCTCTCTCTGTCAAATAAATAAATGCTTAAAAAAAAAAAAAACTCGGGGCGCCTGGGTGGCTCAGTGGGTTAAGCCGCTGCCTTCGGCTCCGGTCATGATCTCAGGGTCCTGGGATTGAGTCCCGCATCGGGCTCTCTGCTCGGCAGGGAGCCTGCTTCCCTCTCTCTCTCTCTCTGCCTGCCTCTCTGTCTACTTGTGATCTCTCTCTGTCAAATAAATAAATAAAATCTTAAAAAAAAAAACAACTCAGTAAGTAAATAATTGCATAGATTGATTCTTACATTACCTGTGTCTGTCAGCTATGGACTGTGAAAACCCAATATTAATCCTAGTCTGAGTGACTCCAAAATCTTTAATATATTCAGACTATGTATGCCCCATTTACCTATTATCTACAGCTTATCTATAATTTATCTAATGACATTGGCCCTTTATGGTAGTTGAAACACCTAGGATTATAAATATCTTTCAATTTTGAAAACTTACATTATTTTGAAATAAAGAAGCACTTGGTGGAATCCAACCAAAGAGGACCAGAAAGGGTTATTAAATTTGACCACTTTATGGGCGCCTGGGTGGCTCAGTGGGTTAGGGTCTCTGCCTTCGGCTCAGGTCATGATCCCAGGGTCCTGGGATCCAGCCCCGCATCGGGCTCTCTGCTCAGCGGGGAGCCTGCTTCCTCTCCCTCTGTCTGCCTCTCTGCCTACTTGTGATCTCTGTCTGTCAAATAAATAAATAAAATCTTATAAAAAAATAAAAGAAATTTGACCACTTTACAGTCTGGCTTTCTCATCTCAGACTAATATAAAATGCCAGCTATTAAAGTGTTCTTAGGGATGCCTGTGTGGCTCAGTTGGTTAAGCATCTGCCTTCCTCTCAGATCCTGATTCCAGAGTCCTGGAATGGAGTAGGAATCCCTGCTCAGCGGGGAGCCTGCTTCTTTGCCCTCCCTCTGTCTGCCTGCTCTCCCTGTTTGTGCTCTCTCACTATCTCCATATCAAATAAAGTCTTTTTTAAAAAGTTTATAAATAAGACATTTTAATTTAAAGCATGTATACTTGCATATAGCGTTTTTACATATTAATTACCAACATTTTGGAGCATTTATTATGTGCCACAAACAGCTTTAAGTGTTCCTAAATTAATCCTCACAACAATTCTATGAGGTACTATCATTATCTATGAGGTACTATCATTATCTGTATTTTATAGATAAGGAAACTGAAAGTAGCAGAGCTGAGATTCAAACCCACTTCATATGTACTAGAAAGTTGTTAGCTCTAGGTGGTGAGATTGCAGATGATTTTTTTTCTTCCTTGTACATTTTTGGATTTAAAAAAAATCCTCCATGATGTGATGTTATGAGCACAGGGTATTATAGAAGACTGGTGAATCACTGAACTGTACCTCTGAAACTAATAATACCTTATATGTTAATTAACTGAATTTAAATTTTTTAAAAATAAGTAAATAAATAGGCCAAAAAAAAAAAATCCTCCACAGTGACCATGTAGTATTTCCGTAATCAGAAAAACATTAAAAAAAAAAAAAAACTAACTCTAATAAAAGGAAAAAAGAAATAGTTTCATTCACTCCTTGAGCATTTATAAATGCTATGTCCCTTGGGAAGCATTTCCAGATTTCTTCAACCAGGTCTGTTTAATCATTTCTTTGATGTTGCTTTTTTTAAATCCTCTTTTATGTCATGAATATATCTTAATATGTTTTATGATTGTCTTTCCTGTGACTCAATTCTTGAAGACTGAAAAATCTTATTTTGATTCTGTTTATGGATAGTGATTTCTCAGTAAACATTTGTGAAATGCATTAAATTGAATAAAAAAATAATGCAACTGTGAGCTGCTAACCACTGAGTTCTGTGTCAACTTCTCTTCCTCATATGCTT